TCTGGCGCAATGGTCCAGTGCTGTTGAAAAGTCAGTTGACTCGTCTCTCCGACTTCAACATTCTGAAAATCCTACGATCAATCCACTGCCAAACTTGCCACCATCCTACAGAGGAAGATGCTGCAAACAAATGCCTTCCAGCAATGCTGGTCGTAAGACACCCAAAAGTGACCTCCATGGGGGATATAATCCTCCATGTGAAGTCTTTAAATTGACAAATCATCATAAAATCCGACAGGCCAGACGAATCAAGTCTTTAATTAGGGCGGTTCAGAGTAGTCTCAGTATTGATAGTTCTAACCACCCATTTCCTTCCATTAGTCATTTGCCTCAACTGCGCAATGAATGGCAGGCCATCTTAAAGGCTAGAGGGTACGGTAAGGCATGGGCCCATTGGATATTAGCTTTTGATCTGGTCACATGTCTACCAACTTTTTTTCCCACTCTGGATGAGTTGTCTATGTTTTCCCAGCTAACTGAGCTTGATTGTACTGCCAGTTGCAATCAAGAAAAGCTTGCAAAGAAAAAATCTTTTAAGCATTTGATTCAGGTGGATAATGACCAAAATTTTGGTTCTATTACATATCGCATTATCAAAAACAAAAATACTCCCAAACTGGAGGAGGTGCCTTTCCGAGTTTTTGCCAGTGCAGCACTCTTGCGGAAAATCCGCGATGCACCCTTGCAAGTCAAAATTGATCAGGATATTCAGTTCATGCAACATCAGCCTGCTAAATTTGGTGATGCGACTGTCATGATCGACCAGCAGTGTCAAAGAGTCATCACAATTAGACTTATCTCTGGTAAACTTCCTGCCAGAGCAGAGCTCTCACAAATGAGAGTTACGACATGTGCCAGCGAGGTTTTCCAGGAATTTTATAAATTTTGGTCACCGATGTGGCAGAGAGATTCATATCAGTCTCAATTCTCGGATGATGATTGGGCCTCGTTTCATGACGAAATTCAAAACGTTCCCATTCCTCACATGCAAATCGACATTAACCTTGAAGATCCAGAAATTTGGATGCGCACCATTAATAAGTTAAAGCCTGGTAAGGCTGAAGGAATTTGCGGATGGCGGCATGAGGAACTTCAGGCCTTACCAGCTGTTGCCATTAAGCATTTAGCCAAGATATTTGCTGCACTTTGGTCGTTTGGTATGCCTTCACACCTCATGCAGGGTCGAACGGTTCTACTTGCCAAAAACTCGGAACCCAAATCCATGCACGATGGTAGACCCATTACTATTCTAAGTGTCCTTTATCGTTTGGCATCAAAGATTGTGTTTGACCAGGTCATTCAAACATGGATGATTTTCTTGCCTAATGCTATCAGTGGTGGTATCCCTGGCAGAGGAGCACGTGACCATGCTTTGAATCAAATTCTCCAGGTGGAGAAAGCCATAATTGGCAAAAGTGGCCTATGCGGGTCATGTATTGACTTAGTTAAGGCCTTTAACCTGATTCCCCGTAGACCCACGGCCATAATCCTGAATAACCTTGGCATTCCACAAAACATCCTGGCGTTTTGGACCAACTCACTTGCCAGAATGCGTAGGGTACCTCAGGCTTTCGATTGTATTGGCCATTGCATGGAAAGCACTACCGGCTTGCCAGAAGGTGATTCTTGGAGCGTTTTGGGAATGCTAGGAATTAGTACTTTCTGGTACTTCAAGTTATTAAATCCCTGTCTAAAACCACATTCCTATGCGGATAATTGGTCCTGGCTCACCAAAAATCAAAAACAAAATATCTTGGCATGGCAGAAAACCCTAAACTTTGTTTCATCCCTACGTATGGTAGTTGACACAAATAAGAGTTGGGTTTGGGCCACTACCAAAGACCTTAAAAATAGTTCATCTGACATTTCACTTTTATTTCCATCAGGACAAACGTCTATCCCGATTAAAAATGTAGTCAAAGATCTTGGTGAAATTGTGCAATACTCACTTCAACAGTGGGTGCAACCCATTGCTGATAAAATTCAAGAAACCGTACAGCGTGTAAAAAGATTATCGTGGATTCCTTGTACCCTACAACAGAAAGCTCAACAAATCCAGAATGGATGTTGGACATTTGGCTTGTATGGGGCAGATCTTCATTTCGTGGGGTTGCAGCATTTCACAAAGCTGCGTAGAGCAGCAACTTCTGCTTTGGCCGGGAATCACAAGTCCGCTTCATCCTGGTTAACTGGGACCATTATTTCCAAAAACCTTGATGATCCATTGCTATTCGTTGTTCTCAGCGCCATCCGGGTCTTGCGTCGTTTGGCTTTCCATAGTCCGGACCAGGCTAGGGAATTTGTTGAGCTTGCTATTTCGGCGGTGGTCCCATTCCCTTGTGGACCTGCAACGACCTTTCAAAAATACATGCGGATTCTGGGATGGAAAATTGCCTTAAATGGTGACCTTACTCATATCTCGGGTCTAACTGTCAATTGTCTGCACAGTTGTATTAAAGAACTTGTTTTGAAATTTCGTTTGGGTTGGACAGTATTTGTTCAAGAACAGATTGAGCATAGGAGAGGTATTCCTTCTACTCCGTTTGATGCAATGTCAACAAAAAGAATTTTTCAGGCTTTGTCAGATACTGATCAAAAAGCCATTATCCTTAATATGCTGGGTGGATGGCAATCCCAGATCGTTCAGTCCAAGTGGAATGCCGAGACCTCGGGTGCTTGCCCTTTATGTGGACAGGAGGATGATCAGAAGCATAGGTTTGTCGAATGCCCAGAGTTGTCTCACATTCGACAATTACATCCAGATGCTGTGGCCATCCTGGCACATCATAAAAAAGATTGGAGATATCACCCCATAACTTGTCTTCCTACTGACTATGAACATGTTCAACAATGTATCACTACTACCACATTTAACCCTGACTTACCTGACCTTAATTTGGGTGGGCAATCAGTGAGGTTTTTCACTGATGGAGCATGTGAAAACCCAACAAACCCATTTTTTCGTAGGAGCGCGTGGGCCATAATTTTGGACCTCTCTAAAAGCGCTGAACACCGATCAGCGATTCTACAACAATCAGCGTCTCAGATGGAGTTTAAAAACCTTTTTCAATGTCTTGGAACTGGTTTGACAACTGGAAAGCAGTCCATTGATAGGGCTGAACTTACGGCAGTGGTAACTGCTTGTAGGTGGTCGGTTCACGTTGCGCGATGTCGTGCCACTCTTTTCACGGACTCCCAGTACGTTATTAATGTTGTCAATAAGATTCGTAAATTTGGTCCCGTAGTCCCTCTGCATAAAATGGCCAATCCAGACTTGGTCCAAGAGTTGGCACAGCTTTGGAAAGACGAGCTTTTTGCAATTTTCAAAGTCAAGAGTCACCGTCAATTCAATGATGCGAAAGACTATGAGGATTTGTGGGCCATTTATGGTAATTCCTTGGCGGATACCGCCGCTGGTCAAGCTCTTGTTCGTATTCCAGACCTATGTAAGGAATGGATTGAAGATTCCAAAACTAGGCATATGAATGAACAGGAAGCGTTGAAAATAACTTTGTCCTACATAGCACAATTAAATCTGGAAAGACAGAAACTGCTTAAAAGCAAGAATTCAACAACTGAATATGTCCGTGGTGGACAGGCCACCGGTGATGATGCGTGGGCTATTTTGCATGATGTATATCGTGTCCCAACTACCTGCATGACACAAGATGCTCTGCCAATTGAAAGAGCACAAGCGAACTTGCAAGGAACCAATTTTGCATTTCGGCTGTGGGCATGGCTACAGACCCTGGAGTGGCCTGATCACTCTGTACACTCACAGGAACCTTTCGCCTGGGGCATCTCGTGGCTGGAACTCCTATTAAATTTTTTAGTTATCACGGGGACCATGCCTCCAATCCGCGTCTCCGGACAAGGAAGTAAATCTATTTATGTTAGCTACTTTTCCGTTGAGGCTGAGGCACTTCCACCACGGAAAAAGCATGCTTCTGTTATGTGTTTGATTTTTGTCAACGCTTTGCAAACTCTCAAAAACATATCAGGCAAAGATATTTTGCCGACTTTTGATACCTCGGGTTGCTCATCGCTGCGGAGATTGGGGTATCAGACGAATGCCCAAGGGTTAAAGATACGCCCCATTTTACAAAGAAACGCTGCAACTTTATTGGAGCTCAAAAGATTTTTAAATTTGGCCAACCCTAAAAACGTCATGAGCACGCAAATCCAAAAACCTTTGAATCCACCTTCCTTGCAAATTGATGATGTGGCTGAAGATAGTGCGAGGCAACGTTTCGCAAATTACATGAGACTGCAAAAGAGGAACGCTAGGGGTGCTTAAACCCCGCGCCCCCCCCTATTAAAAAAAAAAGGAGGTTGCCTACTTTGGCACTTGCAAATCTGGTCACGCCTTGCGATTCCTCACCCTTCCTATTCTGTTTTGATACCCACTTCCCTTTGGGTTAAATTTTGCGACACTACAATTATGTGCATGATGCATGCTCTCACCGTATACCAACTCTTGGGGCGCTCCGATTGTTGGCCCTGGTCTCCTCTTGACCTTCACGATATTCAGTCACCATAGTTTCAAATGCACTGACCCCACCACCAGAGTCCGGGGCTGTGTCATTATGGACCTCTGAGTTCATGCGAGAGTCGAGTCCAAAAATGGTGTATATACCTCCAAGTTCCAAGAAACAACATGGAAACCCCCAAAATAATAGTCATATATAGAGAATTAATAATATTAATGATAACATTCCGTCATGATTTCGAGTCAATTCAAGTAGCATTCTTACTAATGATGATACGGTGTTTTTCCCCAAGCCACATTGGATCCTGCATCAGGATCCCTCGTCTCCAACGCTTATTGTTTCACTTGGGATGTGAATTTTTGACGCTTGAAACCGGGCCATGTACGAAAAGAATTCTCTGAACTAAAACGAAAAACTAACATATTCCCTTCATAGCTTCCCTTCATAGCTTCCCTATGCTTCCCTAAAACCATTCCTGTGGATTTCCATTGGGAAAATCAGCCGCGTCGCCTTTGATGCGCAGTTGGGTCGATCTGGGCAGTAGATCTGGTCCAGTTGCAGCGATGAAGGGCAAAATCAGGGTTGACCATGTGATATCCCCCCAAAAGCTGGAATTTAGCTGTCTAAATAGTTTCAGCTGGAAAATATTGAAACCATGACACAATTAGCAGGTATTTAAGCCAAAATTAAATATATTTCAGATTCCAGATGTTCTCTTTATTGTGGGTCGCTATGAGGTGTTTAAGACCACGGCGACCACGTGGCTCTATTTGTGAAGGATATCGGTGATGAGATTTGATGCGATTTCACACACATTCACCTCGATGGAGCATTCAGAAATGATTCTACTTTCGGATGTCGAAAGTTTCCTCATGATATGGGTCAAACTTGGGCCCCAAATTTCCAGGGTTTACTAGAAAAACTGTCTCACCTCAAAGACTCTTTTTGTTATCTATAGCCTTGATTATTAGGCCTCCCACTGTCCGGGAGTTTCCAGCCAGCCAGGGCTATCATTGGAGGGAAAGTTAAACATCTTACCATCCGTTCGGGGTGCCTTTTCGTCATCGTTATCTGCCATGATCTGAAAGTGTTCCTTAAGACAAGGCGTCGTTTGACGCCAGAGGCCCATGACCATCGCAGAGTCGCAGAGTGGGCAATGGTTTGAATGTGGTGTAATCATCTATCAAAATCTATCAGTTAAATTATGTTAAACTATGTCAAATTTATGTCTGAACAAGAGTTGGTAATACAAAAAGGAACCAAAGTTTTTCAGGACAGAGGAGGATCCGAAAAATCGTCGAACTCTTCCATGGATAAACATTTCACAGGGGATTGCAATGAACCGTAACCCATTCTAGTCCAGAGGCCGTACATGCGGAAGAACAGCATTTCTTTCCGCAAGATTCTGCAACATGTTCCTTCAAACATAATTGAAGATGGGAAATGATCAGCTTTCCCCATGACTATTACGTTTCTATTGTTACTCGTGATTGTAGTTACACATATAGTTACACCACCACCTGTTATTTCTCAAAACATCTTACGACGCAGTTTCTTCTGGTGTTTGACCCTTCATTTGCGGTGAAACATATGTAAAATACACTCATTTGGCATTTGGTTCTTGATCTAAAACCTGGTGCCCTGCGGTTCTATCAACGGATCTTCATCCGCTCATTCACATGCTCAACCAGCAATGTTAGCCATCAATATCCCAATGTTCGGTGGGAAGCATCCCAAAGTTTTCCTGATTATAGTACCAGTAGCATCCAAAAAAGTTGTAAACATATAGTATAGAATCATCAAATCTCATATAGCATCAAATGGTCTCATATAGTATCAAATATAGTATCCCTAATACTCACTATCCACCCATCGGGGCCCCTGGGGCCCCTGACCACCCCACTGCTGCCAAGGACGAGTTCGCCCACCCAGAGGCCCAAGATACTTTCCGACCTGCCGGATCTGGCCTTTTTTGGAAAGGTTGAGGATCAAACCATCCCAGTTCTTTGATGTGTTTGATGTTTTTTTTGGGGGGGTGAAAAATGTGTCTTGGACTCAATGTGAAGTTTTTGTTGGGTGTGCAATGTATGTCTGACTCTATATGTGACATGGAAAACTGCGATTGAATGAAGAATGAATGCAGTATACCAGGCTTCTAGTTATTCCTAGTTTCATGAATGAAGCACCAAAACCTTGGGGGAGACTTGAAGAACATGCCACAAATGGTCAGTCATGGACAGTCAAGGCCGTTCAAGGACTACAGTGAATAGATGACAAGTGTAACCCAAATCCAAGTAACAACATGTGACAGCTATGGAAGCCATGGCCTTTTTTCACTGGCCATTTCAGGAACCGATTGATTGGAGGTACCTACCATATATTTTTGGCCTATTTTTCAGGCCTATGTAAGTGAATATCACCACAAAATATGGCCTAAAATATGGTACAGTACCTCCATTTTAGGATCCTGGAAATCTCCCATTGATTTTTGGGACCCTATGCTTTCCCTCTAGGTTTTCCCTGGCCCTCCATGACTAAACTCTTCAATCAGAGGATTCCCGGCATGGCCGTGAGCAAACATACACTGTCGGCAGCCGTCGGCAACTGGAAACACAACCCCCACTATAAGCTGGTTGGTGGTTGAGCCACCCCTCTGAAAAATATGAAAGTCAGTTGGGATGATGACATTCCCAATATATGGAAAAATAAAAATGTTACAAACCACCAACCAGTAAGTCTTTATAAACAACAATGATGACACTACCAGCGGAGGTCACCATAAAGTGGAGGGCAAGTTGAAGACAATAAGGATCATAGGGGCAATAAAGCACGGCATAAGGATTCCAGAAAATACACAATAACCTACAAAACCATTTCTGGCAACTATTGTGCAAGTTGAGTTGTGGGTGTAAACCAACAAAAAGGGGACAACCTACATCAAACTACCAAAACAATCCGAAACAATTCTGTTCAGTCACCCAAACTTGGATATATCATTGGTTCTAAATATATCTGCAAACATGTGCAATTTTGGGGTACAGTCAAACCAATGATTAAGCATCAAGTCATGGGTGTTATATCATGGTATATCATTACTGGTTGGCGGTTTTAACCATCTTGAAAAATGAAAGTCAAATATGGGAAGAATTACATCCCATATATCAAATATATGAAATGGAAAATAAAATTCATGTTTGAAGCCACCAACCAGTTTTTGTCATTAGTCTTATGTTTTAACATGTCTCAACTATACTTGGTGCATGCGAAATATCCCCCAGACCTGGAATTTTCAGCAAAATGGGTCCATCAGAAAAAATATCCCAGCGGGGATGTTATTTCCAACCTCCAACAGATTTCTGGATTTTCAAGTGATATTCAAAAGCCCCAAAAAGGAACATGTACCAAGATCCCTGAGATATGTATAATACATATATACCCTAACCTGGCCAATGGAAAATATTCCATTTATATAGTTCGTTGATTTTCCAGCTATATATAAACAACTCCATTTCTATAGCGGATTTGCCAGCTAACTTTGATTACCAAAGGCTAATGAGATTTTCATGGTGTTATGATTCAGATTTGATGTCCTCCTGAAGAATATAGCTGGTTGGTGGTTTCAACCCCTCTGAAAAATATGAGTCAGTTGGGATGATGACATTCCCAATATATGGAAACATAAAAAATGTTCCAAACCACCAACCAGATAGGGTCTTTTATAATTCATCGATTTATATATCTTACCTATCTCTTTAACAGGTATTTTCATGGGCTTAATCGTCTATCTGGAGGCTTCCTGAAATAGGGCTACCCCCAGTTCTCATCCATTTTAGATTGGGATTTTCCACGAAATAGACCAACCATTTTGGGGTACCCCTAACATACTATTGAAACAGATGATTTGGGGGTACCCCTATTTAAGAGTATGGTTATAAACCAACCATTTTTGGGGATATCCCCATTTTAGGAACCCCCATCTTATCTGGGGATGACTCTAAATCGAATTGCCATGGCTCCGTTCTGACCAGCCGCCCAGCCTTTCCATCGCATCCGGCTCCCATTTGTTGAACCTTTAAAGAGAAGCCGTGGGCCAATGTTGGTTTTCCTGAGATATTATGGGTATACAATGGATATAATGGATATCCAGGTTTCATGTTGGGGAAAAAAAACATGTTTAGCTGGTTGGTGGTTTCAATTCCTCTGAAAAGTATTAGTCAGCTGGGATGATGACATTCCCAATATATGGGAAAAAAAACCATGTTCCAAACCACCAACCAGACATGTTTAGGATTGTTTTGGGCTTTAGCATGCTTTGAAAGTGCAAAGCCACGTGTCTTTGGGATGATCTGGAATTGCCTGACCGTCTGTGGCTTAACTCACGGGATTGTCACCAAACAGCTGAAAAATCGATCGTGCCAGAAGGAACACTTGTTTTTTTTTGCCAAAAGCTCTTGGATTATCTGTCATTTGCTTCGTACACTTTCACTTCGCACAATCTCTATCATTACCATGAGCTTCGAGTTCGCAACCATGGAGATTGGTTGCTAGGTTGCTAGCGAAGGACTTCAACGTCAATAAAGGACTTATGGATTTCAATCTGCTCAGATTCCAGTTATTAGTACCTGGTGGATACGTCTCATGGACACAATCCCATGTTGTCTTGTTGTCTTCGTCAGCTGGAATCATCCCATAAATATCTTTCAAAACAGACTAAAAACACCGTATTTTTTCTATGTACTTTGTTGCTTCAGTTGCTTTAAATCCACATAGACATACAGTATCATAGAGTCATAGAGTTTTTGGTCACCTCACAGGGTTTTCATCATGTTTTTTCTCCAAGCCGTCCCATGTCGCCGTTGAGCGTTCCACGTCCCTTGGATGAAGAAGTCATCACCCCAGTCCACCAACTCCTGAGGATTTTCCAGCTCCGATGGGGAACATCTTCCTGTTCTGATTGGTGGTTTCAACCATCAACTAATAATGGTCATTGAAATAGTGGATTTACCTACTAAAAATGGTGATTTAGCGGGATTTAATGGGATTTATTAAATTAGGATATATGATGGTATACCCTCTGGTAAACAAACAGTTTGCTATTGAAAATGGCCCAGTCGAAATAGTGGATTTTCCCATTGAAAATAGTGATTTTCCATAGTTTTTTGTAAGTTTACCAGAGGTTAATGGGAAAATATGTATTTTCCATAATAGATGGGATATATCTGGAAAAATATGAGTTCGTCAATGGGAAGGATTATTGAAAAATATATGAAATGGAAAATAAAATTCATGTGTGAAACCACCAACCAGTGTTTCTTGATTTTCCCAGCTAAACAATTCCATGGCTGGTTGGCTGAGCCTACCCCTCTAAAAAATATGAGTTCGTCAATTGGGATGATGACATTCCCAATATACCCATATGATCCATGTATGCTATATATGGTAACATTTACCATCAATATACCCCAGTCATGTTAGCATATATACCAGCACCATGGATCCTATGGGATATGGAAAAAATAAAAGCCATGTTCCAAACCACCAACCGGATGGAGTTCGGGGGACAAACCCAGCTTGCGACCACTGTTCATGACACCGGAGGCTATCCGATGATGACAGCTATGAATCTTTGAACTATTAATGTGAAAAGCCAATAGAAACATTAGTTATGGAAAATTAATAGATAATAGATGACGAACCATGAAACCATGATTAACAGTTGCTTTCCATCAATTTCCAGTTTGAACCATGGACAATCATGGAAAATGATCGAAACCAACTGAGAACACATTTCAAATGGGTCAGTAACAAAACTCACCACTTCGTCCAAGGGATTAATGTCCAGTGTTGTTTGAGCCGCACCTTATGATATATATATATATATATAGTAATATGTATATATATATATAATTAATATGTATACAGTATGCGTATATATATAATTATATATATATATTACTATGTATACAGTATACATATATATATATTAAATTATATTAATATGTATACTGTATACTATATATATATATATTATATATACACAAAACATAACATGGTTATTGGGCCCATTCCTGCTGGCTACAGCAACCAATTTGCTCCTTTGTTTGTGGCATCATCACGAACATGGTCATATCACATCCCCATCATTTTATTGCACATTCCCTACGGCTCACGTGCGTGATACACCCCCAAATGATGGGAGTTTCATGGGTTTTTAATGGGAAAATAATCCATTTTTATCGGATTTTCATGGGATTTTCCATTATAAAATGGGATGATAAAATGGGATTTTAATGGGATAAATGTTTCAAACATAGCCATTGTATTTGGCTATATCTCATATCGCATATCATTTTTGCTTGTCAAATGTCCACTTCTTCTTTGCGAAGTCCCATTCTGCTACTTAACACGCTCCATTCCATGGTTCCTTCATGGAAAAGACGTGTTCTGCTGCTATGAAGTCCAAATCTCTCCATGTTTCATAGCCAGTCTTTGATACCATACGCAACCCCACTACTTTAGCTAGTTTTATTTAAAACATATTCCCATTACCATCTGGTTATGACTACCATAGCGAACTGGAAAATCCCCACCATAAATGGAGGTTTCTAGCTGGGAAAATCGTCTGTAAATGGGCCATGGCTTCCATGGCTATGTTAAATAGCCAGAGGGTAACGCTATTCATAGCAACATATTTTTGTTACGTTACGAGTACTGACGTTAGCCAACGTGGCGGAACCGGGGGGTCGTCCCCCATTGGTGGGATTCTCCAGCCCTCTTTGAGGAATTATCATCATTCTACATCGATTTTTCCCTATAAAAAATGACTATAAAATGGTGGGATAACTACCACATGGCCTGAGTTATACTATGCTAGCTAAACTTTAAACTATGAGTGACATAAATACCATATATAGCCATTATAATACATTATACCATATACAGTCAATATACTACCTATCAAAAACTATGAGCAAAATGAAGTAAATAAAATTATACATTATGCTGCCATCATAATACCAAGTCAGTATAAACTGTGAGTTATTTACTAAACTACCCGTTGCCGCTTAGTCAGCTGCCATGTCGCCTCGTCCACTTTCTCCCAAGTGGCCACTCCGTCCTGACGAAACATCAACGGCACAAAAAGGTGGGAACACGGTAGCTAAAAGAAAAAAACACGTGTATTTGATGGGACTTCACGGGAAGTGCATGTGGTTTTTAGTGGATTTACTAAGGGTTTTATATGGTTTTATGATGTTTTATGGGATTTAAGGGGATTTAAGGGGAGGTTCATGGGAGTGAATGGGTGTTTCATTGGATTTCACCATGAACAATAGGGCACGACAAATGGATTTGACCAACAATTTTCATTAGGCATTGGTGTTTTTTCAGTTCATAAGACCAACAATTTTCTGGTGATGACTCCAACATGTATGCGGGCATACATATATATATATATATACGTATATATATATATACATAGGATATCAATATGCAATTGAGTCCCTCAGATGACTAATTCGGCCTAGAAGAGTCCAAGGTATGCTTTACTAAAGAATAATTTGGCAGCCTATAACAGTAAGAATACCATGGACGGGAATCATAATATGGCAATTCTGCAATTTAGGAACCATCTGTGTCTTTCTACAAGCAGTTGACGCATATGAGCAGTACAAGGATGTGTTGTGAACCATATTTCAACCCTGGAGAAAACGGCAATGAAGGCCACTTGTAGGGAAGGCAATCATAGAAGAGGTAACCAAACAGGCCCAAACATATAACATCTCCTCTACCAAATCCATAGTCAAACCTGAAGGTACACAAGTGCCACGATAGCTCAGCATTACAATGAACTGATTGACAGCATGTGCGAAGGGAAGTACTGCAATCAGCCGCCAGATAGTTTTGCTGACACAGAAAAAGGGTTGATTGTACAAAACTCCTTGGATTTCATATTCTTCAAACGATAACCAGAGAAAGCAACATGGGACCACATTCATCGAAAACGCATGGGTCAAATTAGTTGTGTTTTGTTTTGTACTTTAAGATACTTGAGATATTTCAGGATACTTGGCAAGGGTTCAAGAATTTTCCCGATCACGTATGTTATAGATTTATGCACAATGACTGATTTATAGATGATTTATATTGATTTATATACCTTTTAAGTCCTTTTAAGATACTGATGTTCCATATGTTTTACCAGAGGCTCTCTTCCCGATCTCACCACATCTCCATCAGCTTTTAAGCCTCATCCAGCTCGATCATGTATCTGTCACCAATCTGACCAGCAGGATCAAGCCTCAGCTGGTGACCATCCAGTCTTGATCATTGAAAAAGGAAGGATGATGTCAACTACCCGACTAGGTAAACATACAAAAAACGATGGAAAGATCCACCATGCTATTTTTATGGGTAAATCAACTATTTCGACTGGGCCATTGTCAATAGCTATGTCTATGTTTGTTTACAGGGTCACCATCTTTAAAAACACTAGTTGTGAAAAGTTGAGTCTGAAAAGTCTGCTAAAATGCAGAGTACACGCAGCATTTAGGGATTTGATGCCATGGATTATGAAAAGAATACGGCTATTTCATTGGCATCTCAGATGTTCAAACACACCTATAAATCATAGTATGTGTGAAACATATTCTATCCCCATTTTTTCCTAGCTTAATCTTGGTGATTGATGGGTAAACTGGTAAACCACATTTTGTTCTAGTTAAGTCAGCTAAAGCACCATGCGTCCAAGTTAAATCTCAGTTATTAATGATTAAACCAACCATTTTCCCTGGTTAAATAAGTTACTGGTTGGTGGTTTTTCGCCTACCCCTCTGAAAAATGATGGAGTGAGTTCGTCAGTTGGGGCCCGATGCCATTCCCAACTGTTTCCCTTTACAGTCATAATCCAGCCATGTTCCAGTCACCACCAACCAAATATCTCATTAACCAGTATTAACCATTATTAACCATCATTAACCATATATTAACCATAATCATTCATGTTCCAGTCGCCACCAACCAGCTATAGATAATGGAAAATCACCATTTGGGGATCATTCCCCCAACATTCACCAATGGTTCCAGGCGAAGTCGCCTCCATGGAGCCCACGGAACCGTGAGTCCCTGGTGAAACCACCATTTTTCCTGGTTTTTTATAAGTTAAATCACCCATGTCCCTGGCCTTCCTGGCCTTCCTGAGCTCCCAAGGAACCCTGTGGTCTCCCAATCCCTCACGTCATCGCCGTTCATGGTGATTTCGGCCGGCGGCGCCTGGCCATGCTGGCCATGGCTTTTTTTGTTGCATGGTGACAGCCGTGGAGTCACAAACAACCAGTTTAATGATGGTTAATGATGGTTAATATATGGTTAATATATGGTTAATATATGGTACATATATGGTTAATATGACAAGTGGGATATAATAGTTAGTATATACCATGGTTAATATATGGTTAATGATTGTTAATAATAATCTGGTTGGTGGTGCTGGCTAACCATCTTGAAAAATGATGGAGTTCGTCAATGGGAAGGATTATCCCATCTATTCTGGAAAATACAGAATGCTTGAAACCACCAAGCAAATAGGATACAACAGGGATGTAATATGGATATAATATGGATATTATAGAGATCTAATGGGGATATAATGGGATATAATGCTGGTACAATAAGGATGTGGTATAGTCCTCTATTCCATGCCATGAAATTTCGAAACAACATGGTTACCCTTCTGAATCTTTGATGCAGTGATAACATGTGATAACCATCCTCTCAAACTGGGCAATTTAGCCAAGTGTTAACCATGGCACATGTCTATAAGTTTATATAAGTTTATATGTAGACCGTATAGTACCCTACACAAACCAATAGCAAAGTGATTTATCACTAGTTTAGAAGGAGCTCACTATGTTTTTGTGGGGTTGCTATATAGGTATGTATGTATGTATGATACAACCTATGGTTCCCAACCAACTTTGATTCTGACCAGTGAGAATGTGGGTCAGTCGCAATGATGTTCCTTAGATTCAACCAGGGGCTAATACCTTTGAGCTGAATCATACCTGGTTGGTGGTTGACCTACCCCTCTGAAAAATATGAGTTCGTCAGTTGGGTGGTTATTCCCAATATATGGAAAAATAAAAAATGTTCCAAACCACCAATCAGATACTGTTGCTGCATCTTTCAGCTTAGTCTTCCCCCAGAAATCAAGGCATTGGAAGAGGATTTTCAAATGGCTTTCCAGTGGAACGTTGGAACTCCCACTGTCGACTGGTGGCAAAATCAAGCCACCCAATGAGTAAGTTGCCATCCCATCCAGCAGGCTAAGTTGGCGATATCTTCAAGGAAACTAGGATAAAGTGAAATGACCAATTTATGTCCTGCTGGTAGCTATACCAACTGATACATGTGGCGGTTGAAACCACCAACCAGCGGTCAAACGTGGGTGTATACCAGATAAATTCTCCGGCAATCAAACCTGGTACTGTAGAGGAAACAAATAAAACAAACACAACAATATCCATGGAAAGATGTACCCTCTGGTAATTTGTTACAGTTTGCTATTGAAAATTGCCCAGTCTAAATAGTGAGTTTTCCAATAAAAATAGCATGGTGGATCTTTCCCCTTCGCAAAATGTTAGTTCGTTTACCAGAGGCTATATATATATATATGAATTATATCCCATTAAAAATAAGGTGACTTTCCAGTTCGCAAAATGTTAGTAAACAAATATAAATATGTTCCCAGCTTTCGCCGTCCGAAAAAAAAAAATGGTGGAAATCTCCAGATCGAACCGATTCGAAAAGAAGCGCCTTCGCCAGCTTTCGCTCGAAGAGCTTGATGGGGTCCGTCACCATGCAGCCACGAGAATTCATGATGTTCTTTCCCCAGGCCTGGATCCAACGAAACGAAAAACCGAAACAGGGCACTTTATTAATGGATGATGCCCTAATGGCCATCGGGCCAGAAGCGATGACATTTTCGGAATGTGAAAAAGCCGCAAAGAAAAGCTGTAAACATTAATTGCTTATCTCAAAATAAACACTCTGCAGGGCTTAACAAACGAGAATTACTGTAAGGGATTGAGCCAAAAAAAACAGAAGCCCTGGTACACCATAGCAGGCACGCGACATTTTTTTTGGATTCATCCCACCATCCAAAAATTTGAAGATCATCCACGTGGGAATCAGGTGACACCTGAAATAGGTAGGGCGGTAATCAGTAATCGCTGCCCTCCGTAGTTATTTTTCTGGACATGTCCAACGAATTGAAAATCGCACACAAACAAAACCATTGTTACAGCATGGGGCCAGGTATAAGTTGGTTTTATAAACCATCATAAGCCCCATTAACGATTAGTATCTATTGTTATGTCATGTGATATCTACCATAAACCATAGTTTTTTCAGCCACTATCTACCATAAACATCCATAAACCATAGTTTTTTCAGCCACTTTTTAATAAGGCAACGGTGAAAACCGCGAACTCGAACGAGGGCCCCATCTTCGCCTCAGCGTGCGCATTGGTGCCGCCGAAGCCAAAGGAGGAAACGCCCGCATAGGCTGCATCCTGAAACCATGGATGGAGCGTCATTCGGCCGTTTCGGCCCCGGAAAAGCCTGGAGAAACCATGGACAAATAGCTGGGATGTAGCATAAAACCTATATTTTTTGAAGCACCATGGATAACCATAAATGGTTATATGAAGTACCTAATAACCTATGTTTCATAACCATAAAACCAAGGATCTAATGGGAGCTTCATGGGATATACCTTTGATATAACTGTGACACAACTGGGATTCATGAGATATAACATGGTGGGCCGCTGGGAAATCCCTGAACTACTTTTTTTAATGGGAACGTCATGGAATAACTAGGCGAACTGGGATTTATATGGTGGATACAGCATCTTTTGTTGGATGGGGTTTTGAAACCCAAATCACTGAGGGTGCCCTTCCTGTGACACTCAATGTTTCGGATAACCTCTGTGAATCCACGGAGGGCATCATTTTTGGTAGTGAAACCATCCAATGAATCAACAGATTCATTGGCCATTTCTACCATGTAAGACATCTATCTCTTTGAGATCCTGTAGCGTGACATCAAGTCTTTAGGGGTTGTTCATCGTTTCATTTGGATGCGGATATCATACAAAATCATTCAATACAAAACATCACCAAACGTAAAAATAATTGACTGCGAAAATTCACATTGCAACATGTAGCAACTATTAATTATAAACTCTGTGTGTGGGTCGGTTGATAGACCAATTTGATCCAATTTGGAGCTATGTTCCAGCCACACGGGTCTCCAGGAATATTAAGTATACCCACATATGACAATCTTATATGATGTTATTGGGAAAATTATGATGTATCATGTTGTTACACCATCAAAGTTTAGAGACGCCCGACTATCAAACCCATGTTTGAGATATCCCCATGGGCCGGAACCGAAAAAAATCAGCCTGGAGATGCTAAATTTCTCTGCAAACGAAGCCGTACCATCTTCATTTGAGTGGATTGGTTTAGGTAGGGGAATCATTACAGGGAATAACCCAAATTGATGGATAAAACCAGGGTTTTCTTTAGAATTTCCCCAAAAAATGTTTCAATGATGATTGTGATAACATGTGATAACTGATTATAACTGATTATAACTGATTGTTCAGTCCTTAAAAATTGGAATCTTCAGAAACATCCGCATCTTCAGTCCGTATTCTGCTTCTTTCACGGCCATTCCAGCCGTATCCCCCATTTTTTTTCGGTGTCGAACCGTCCTCACGCATGGCCACTGACTCAGACAAGATCTGACATGGAAAGCCCTGCCGGAGCCACTGTTGAGAATATGCATGTATATAATATAATATATATATATGTATATACTATACTTCGGATATTGATAGTAATATCATATGGTTATATACTGCTATATAAAGTATATATAATATACATTCTATATGACAATGATATTCCCCATAGTTGGACCCATCAATCAATCATGGGAAGATCATAGGGAATCCCCAGTTCAAGGTGCTGCCGGGTTGGTGCTGCCGGGTTTATCCAACAAACATAACTGGGGACCAACTCAGTACCGTAAAACAGCTGGGATGGATGGATCTTTATTCCATTTATTCCATTGATTCCCGGTAAAAATAGATGTTGACATCTTTTGACCATGATATGATGGATATTTCTAGCGGATAATTTTTACCCTAGGGTAAACGTGAGATGTGGAAAAGCCAACAGAAATGTAGATCGGATAAGCATCAATCATGGGAATATCACAGAGAATATCACTCTAATTTGATCTACATAATGGAGTATATATACCAAAAAAATATGACCAAAGTCAATTTTTGTACCAACTTCAATTTTCAAGTCTGAAGTCACTGAAGTCCATTGTTCGTGCTTTTCGAGTACCATACCTCAATAGGTTTCCGTTTCTTAAGTTGCACGCACCATCAGGATCAGAAGGGATGAAACATGTTGAAACAAGAAGAAAAGCTTCGGAAACACCAGGATGGCAACATCATCCCATCCCCCCAAAAAATCACTCATTCATTGATCTGGGTAAACTATAACGATTCATAATAATTCACTAACCTGAATCTTAAGGCCATTTGGGGATGATTCCCTAAAATAAACCATGATTCCAGGGGTCGGTCGCAGTGAGGTCGTGATGAAATTTACTGTACCCAGATTGATGAAGATTAGAATCCCAACTGCAAAAGAATGGCTTTAACCCAGACGCATCCAACTTGATCAATAACTTCGCAACATGTGCCATCCCAAAAAAAACCCAAGATGTCCACAGTCCACAATAGAAAATCATATTTAAATACATGGACCATTATACAAATACATGGACCATTATATGGCATTACGACCATCTGGTTATTTAACATAGCCATGGAAAATCACCAATTTTAATAGGTAAACCATCTATAAATGGGCCGTTTTCCATGGCTATGTTAAATAACCAGAGGGTAAATCAATATAGTGGTCTTCCCCCATTCATATCACATGGAGAGAATCCCATCCCGCGGTGCGTTTCGGCGTTTTTTGCTGTGCCTCCATATCCAAGTGAGGATTACGCACCTGAGGCTCAGTTGTAGGGCAGATCAATCATTCCCCTGTTCATGAATGGGATATAATTATAAATATAGCTTATATGAATTAATCAAACTTATTAAACCTTTCCATCCATTGATCCTGATGAATGGTGGCCAATGGTGGTCGGTTTTGATGGGAATACTACGCAGAGATATCATCAACAATATTAAACACCAAGAACTCATGTTGGACGTACGGGATAACAAAAAGTAAGATTACTGTGACCATAAAAAGGGCCGTTGAATCTATGTTGTCGGTGTTTAATCTGATTTTCGGGATCACTTATAGGGTGTTTTCATGTGTTTTGAATCTATTTTAATATGAAAGGGCGATGAGACTATCCGACAAATCTCCTAGTGCAGGCTTTCAGCACATGCAGCACAAGGGCCTGCCTTCAAGTGGACATTGGCTGCTCCCTCACAGTTAGAGACCTGACCGCAGGGCGAAATCCACAGATTGAACCCCCAAGAAAACGATCGACCAATGGTAAGTTTGTCCATGTGTGAAGTTACTGGAAGATATTACCCTCTGGTAAACTAAGATAGCTATTGAAAATGGCCATTTATAGTGGATTTACCCAGGAAAAATGGTGATTTTCCATAGCTTTTTGTAAGTTTACCAGAGGGTACGTCATGGAAATTGGAGATAAACCATCTCTCTGAACGTCAATTGGAAGATATATCATTGATATATCCATAAGTTTGACACAATTGGAGATAAAGCAATGTTACAAACCACCAAAAACTTATTTCTCTTTGGTGGTATACCTACCCCTCTGAAAAATATGAGTTCGTCAGTGTGGATTATTATTCCCAATAGGTGGAAAAATAAAAAATGTTCCAAACCACCAACCAGTATTTGTGTTTTCAGTAGATAAGAATCCTCCAATGCAATTGTGTGGGGCCTACGTTGTTTTATTTTTTGTGGGGGTGGAAGTTACGTCAGCTAACCACTATTCCTTCACAATTCTAGAGCCGCTTCAAAACTACATTCCACAATTCCGGTGCAAGTTCCAGGATTGAAACGACCGTTCCAGCATCGATATGCGCTACATCTTCCAAAGCCCCATTTTGGCGATGCAATTCATAAACCATATATCTTGGGGGTGCAGTTGGAGTCGCTTTTTTTTTCCTAGGCTATATGTTAACGTGGGTTTCAAACAACAATAAAGTTTAAGATAAAATTTGGAGATAAAACCTATGGTGAAATGGCTTCATATGGTAGCATATGGCTTTATACATACATATATATATATACATACATACACTCAATATATACATAGTATATATATATATGTATGTATGTATGTATGTATGTATGTCTGTATGTGTGTATGTGTGTATGTGTGTATGTGTGTATGTGTGTATGTCTGTATGTATGTATGTATGTATGTATGTATGTATCTATCTATCTATCTATCTATCTATCTATGTATCTATGTATCTATGTATGTATGTATCTATCTATCTATCTATCTATGTATCTATGTATCTATGTATCTATGTATCTATGTATCTATGTATCTATGTATCTATGTATCTATGTATCTATGTATCTATGTATCTATGTATGGATGGATGCATGCATGCATGCATGTATGTATGTATGATCATGTATGATTTTGTATGATTATGTCTGTCTGTCTGCCTGCCTGCCTGGCTGGCTGTCAGTCTGTATGTATATTATACATGGGTTAATACCACTTAGTTCACTTATACTTCACCTCCTTTTCGTCGCGCACCTGTAAACAGCACTTGAAGAAACCGGCCAGGCCAGCACCTTGCGACCATGGGAGTGGTTTATTTACACCACCCATAAAAACTGGTTGGTGGTTTCAATCCCTCTGAAACATATGAAAGTCAGTTGGGGTTACTATTCCCAATATATGAAAAAAACAGAACATGTTCGAAACCACCAACCATAAAAAGGATGACTTTGAGGGTGGGGTATGAAATTGGCTTGAGCACATGAAAATCTTCAGATGGTGTGAGATTTTGTTTCAAATGTTTTTCGAAGATGAATTTGGTGTATATCTGACGGAAAAAATGATGTTCCACAGAAGAAACATCCCTTTAAAAACTAATTAAAAACTCACTTCAGTCTGAGATGCTCCCCAACATAATCAACCTTCTGGAGAAATCCGCATGACCATCATGACCATATTTTATGATAACCATCTTGATTGCTGTCAAATTGGAAAAGAATACGTAAGTTGCTTATATTAACTACCAATCATAAAATACTAAGCTTTTCAGTAAATGCTTCAGTTTTCTAGGTTACTACCAATCTTAAGTTTATATACTACCACAATCAGTACAGTTTCTTGACTTCGGCCGAAATTTGACCCGCACCCTTTTTTCGCTGGTCAAAATTCCTGTTCACCTTGTCACGTAATCCGCCATTGATCTCCATTTGTCATTGCCAATCTTGGACATCCTCCATGATTTTCTGAGCTGGCCAAGTAAATCATATCCCCTTGAATGGCAAAAGAGTCAAGGATTGAATCGCAAATCACATGTTGATATACATACACATATATATATATAATTATGTATATATATATATCCATTAATATACAGTAATAGGAATAGGTGCTCCCGAAAAAGAAACTTTTGGGAAGTCTCCACGACCTACCCGGGTAGCCCCGTCACCTCCCTCAGCATGCGCAATGTTGGACTTCGATGACCTGAAGACGCCGGGGATTTTGGGACGCGGATGTCTCACCTATAACCAGATCTACCTCCCAAGGGCTATACAAAAAAAAAAAATGATGGTTGATAAACAATCTGACCAGGATTTTTTATTGGTAATATTTGATGGATTCAATGGCTATAACAAGATTGAAACATGATGAAGCCATATGAATACCATCATATTTGGGGTGGAACAAAGCAATCTTATGCAAATAGCCAGTACTATGTAACAGGTTTAACATGTACTAACTAATGGGGATATGACCAGCAAGAGTGGGGGTATATAATCAGATGATCAAGCACCCTCTGCGTATTCAATGTGTTTTTTAGTCAACAGGCGTTTATTGGCATGTCTTCAAGTAGGGATTTAAATGATTTACACCCCAAATTTCAAGTTTAATGGGGAAAGTGTTGATTACCCTCTGGTAATTTAACATAGCTATTGAAAATGACCATTTATAGTGGATTTTCCCATGAAAAATGGTGATTTTCCACAGCTATGTTAGTTTACCAGAGGGTAACCATATTAACCAGCGAATTTGAGACCATCGGATAGACAAACCATGAAAACCCCTCCAGTAATTTAACCAATATTTAGCAGCCTGTTGACCAAATGTCCAGTACCACAACTGTTGTACACGCAAGGTTGTGTTGTCCTTAACAGCATATAATATATATATACACTCATCTTATATTGTGTGTGTGTGTTTCCCATGAATTAAAGTTTGAAAGTCGACTTAAGGACATTCCAGTCATGCACAAAATGACCGGAGGCTATCTCCCTTATCGCAGTGATGCTGTCCAAGTGGCGTGATCACCAGTGGTTCCTTCCGCGGGGTCGCACTCATCACCTGTACCATGGAGGATCTCATAACCAAGTGAGGGATGCGATTATCCAATTGCAAGGTTGATTTAACCATTAAAAATTGTGGTTTTAATGGGATACTATATAATGGGAAGATAATGGGATATAACTGATATAACTGATCAACTTACTATAATGGATGGAATGGGGTGCGCTACAGACAAACCCAGAAAAATGTGGGAAACGTTGCGAGAACTAGCATTAGAAACCGGTTTGGGGGGGTTGTATGATGTTGTATGGTCCTATTCTGTTTGGGAACCAAGAAACTAGAATCCCACTCACCCCAGCCACACGCCTTTTTGAAGGAGCCAACTTCGATTGGATCTCCCAAAGCCCTCAGCAAACAACAACCGCTAGGGTCAGCGCCCATCAGTGGAAGTTAAAGTTTACTTCTCTCCGTTTGGGAATGATGGCAATGTAAAATACCCGTGTGGGAAAGTCACCAAATGAGTTGAATCAAAATGGAGCTTAGTAGCACCTTGGTCCTTGCTTCTGACCCCTATGAAAGCCGGGTGGAGTCATTCTCACGAAGCAGGGCTGATACCTAATCTTGCAAGTCAGGCTGGGGAGTGGTTTCGAGCCACCTGAAAAATAAGTGGCGAAATGTGGTTCCTCAAACATGCCACTCAAGAACCCCCAAAAAATCCATCATCTGTTGGTGGCTGCGTCCTCAAGCGGGGTAAACCTCAAATATGAATCAACATGAATCACTCTTTAGCAATTTTCATGAAATACTATTACTGGTTGGTGGTATACCTACCCCTCTGAAAAATATGAAAGTCAGATTGGATCATCATCCCAACTATTGAGAAAATTAAAAAATGTTCCAAACCACCAATCAGCTATTAACAAATACCACAAAAAACTGATGAGTAGCCATCTAAAAATCTCGAGCTTGTCCCACGCTTTTCCCGGAGGAATCCTTTCCACCTGGATGCCCTAAGCAGCCGGACGTGCCCGTGCCGTGGCACTCGATGCAATCCACTTCGGTCGGCGTCAGTTTGCACTCGCGCAAGACGGCCTTGATGCACTTCTCCTGCCAGGAGGGTACCGGATGCAGCGTGACGGAAATCTGAATTCTGGGCACATCAAACATGATATCAACTATATCAAAGGTCTGGTCGACTAATGATGGCTAATCACTGGAGAATCATTGGATAACTTAGATTTTCCAATGATTCATGGGTGGACTAATCACTGGTTGGTGGTTGACCTACCCCTCTGAAAAATATGAGTTCGTCAGTTGGGATTACTCTCAATATATGGAAAAATAAAAAATGTTCCAAACCACCAACCAGATAAATATTGAATTGCTGTTGAGTTGTGTCCCACTTCCATACCAACCGGAAGGACAACCAGTATTGAGTTGTCTGGCTTAAATTCCCATTTTTGAGTATCCCCCGATGTTGAGACAGCCCTAAATCATATTGTGGGTGAACTCTATCCCGTTTTCTCTCCTCGTAAACGGGACACTTGTACTACCATTTAGTCAACTCAGTCCCCAATCGATTAAAATAGCCTTTGTATGGGCGACAATCATCATTGAAACATAATGAAGTATTTTAATAAACTATGAGTTATCATCCCATAAATCACCCCCATCATATCATCAATAATTCATCACCATTAAAACATAGATCTGCAAAATCCCATCATGTGCAGATCATCTTCCTTGGCTTTCCGCCGATAGATTTCCATGGCTATGTTATCTAAAAAATTAACCCCAGGCTAAACAAAAATCCAGGTCTATGTTATAGTTAACATAGTTAACCACCGGCAAAATCTATCTAAATCTCATGGTTTCTGCCACAGACTTAATATCTATAGTATCTATAGATCTATAGAATCTATAGAATCTTCTGCCACTTATAAACTCTTCGGCTCCTGTGCCGGTCCGTTGGGCGCCGTCAAGCTGGCACTGCGGCCATCCTGGTGCGGCGAAAAGCATCTGGGGACGTAGCTCAGCAACGTCCCAATGGAGGGATGTAAAGCCAACCATGATGGGGTTTATATAATGATCAGTTAATGGATATTAATGGATATATAATGATTATATAAGATTATATAATGGAGATTACCACAACTGAATTAACCAATCAGATAATATTAATGATATTTGGATATAATGGTTAATGATATATGATCAGTTAATGGATCAGTTGAATGATTTTAAGGTAATTGTTAGTCAATACCTTGCTTCCTCCATTACAATGATGATACATAAATTCTTGGCTTTCAACGCTTCCTTGTTTCCTTAGAGCCAACCAAATGGAGATGATATAATGGATCAGTTGAATGATTTAAGGAAACCAGTAAACATATCAACCAGAAAGCAATGGTTTTAAGCTGAAATATCGTGGATTGTCCCTGATATACCCCATGGGGAAGTCAACCGTTTGAAATGAAAAATATAAGCGACCATAATGCGGATATAGTGTTAATATCAATATTAATGTCCTTTTGGTAAAAATAGAGGGGCCGGTTTGGTATACCATCTATCATCATTTACCTGTTGTTAAAGGGGTTTCTCCAAACCCCTCTATCAATTAACCAACCAATGGGAAAAGGACATCTATGGTTAATATAGTGTTAGTATATTGTTGATATAGTGTTAACATAGTGTGATATGATATGGCTAGCTAACAACATAATTTCTGGGTGTGTCTGAACATGGGGAATTTACACAAAGTTGCTTCTAAAGTAGGGAACATAAACATCATGATCAACCAGTGGATTCTGTGATATTTCCAAATAAAAAGCCGTTGTCTTGGAAATCAAAACTTCATATATCTAATTCAGTATATTCATATATATATATATATATACTCATATGTACATATATATATACATATATATATATATACATATACATATATATATATATACATAGATATATTCCATATTTACATCATATCCTCCACATCAATCCCATTATATCACCTTTTCAAATGGATGCTTCACCCTCCAAAAAAAAGGTCAAAAAGGTCACCTTTCCAGGCACCTGATTGGACTGGCTGCCAGCCAAACAGCAGATGGAACCGCTGGCGGGATCGAACTGCTTCAGCTTGAAGCAGAGGGCTCCACACCTCGGAACGCCGCAGCCACAGCCGGTTGGCTGCGAAAGAAACGTCTGAGACGGGCTCGATTTTTGGCCAAAAAACATGGTAAACCCATAGGAAAATGGAGGTTTTAATGGGAAAACCCATAGGAAAATGGATGTTAACCCTCTGGTAATTTGTTACATAGCTATTGAAAATAACCCATAGAAATAGTTGATTTACCCATTAATAGCATGGTGATTTTCCATAGTTACGTTAGTTTACCAGAGGGTAGATGTTTATGGGATTTCGTAAGGGCAACTATTGGAGAAGATTCGCGATTTCATGGAAAATTGGATCAACAGATCCATGAGATCCCAAACTGCGCCTCTGAAATGTTGAAATGTCTGCTTTTTTTCAAACCAATGACCAAAAGTGAAACTGCAGGAATAGTGGTTTCAATATGTTTCAATCACTGATCCTGGTGATGAACTTTTTTTTTGCTTTGTGAGCAACATACGTTAGAGATCTAAACTCATGCAAATAGAAATGGTCAAACAAAATGCCGGAACAAACATGTATCACTCTGTTCTGAAAGGTGGCAAATGGAAAACTTACACCATGTAATTTCTAGATTCATCCCATGCGTGAAAAATCATGTTCATCGCTATAATTATGTATAGTTATAACGCGATAAAAATATATAATATGACATGTATGTATATATGTATTTACACTTTGTATATATATATATGTATGTTATATATATATATATATATGTGTTATATATATACATATATATATACATATATATACATATATATATACATATATATATATACATTTATAATTATATATACATTTAAAATTATAATATATATATATGTGTGTCATTCAGAAATTCAGTAAGTATTCATGTTCTAGTGCTCACCATTGCTCACCACGTTGGAAGTAAATCAAAACTTCACGTCAGGAGGATCCCTTGGGTCTCCCACAATTCACCGCGGGCATAGCCATCTGCCGTGCTGTTGAAGGTAAAGCACCTGAACAAAATTGCTGTGCATCAGTGCATCGGTCTTAGATCGCCTGTAAATCATGTTTTGAAATTCAATGGTTCCATGTTCTTTTATGGGAATAGGGGTCTTCACTGGCAGGGGCCTTCATTGGCACATTTGAGGGGTTGAGCCATCATTCTAAAACATTCCAAAACATTCCAAAAAATAGAAAAAAGGGCAGCATTTCCCTCGGTTTTATAGGAAAATTGGTGGTGGCAAATGAAGCCCCAGAAGCTCTTCCACAAAGGTTTTTTTTTTTTAAAAAAAAATATTTTTTTCTATTTTTTTCTAATTTTCTAATTTTTTCTAATGTGTTCTAATGTTTTCTAATTTCTTCTAATGTTTTCTAATGTTTTCTATTTGTTTCTAAGTTTTTCTAATTTTTCTATTTTTTTTTGTTAAATTGTGTCTTTTTTTTGCTAGTATTTGGGGCTGCTGTGAAAAATGTGGGAAGTACCAACGACCTGTGGTGAAGTGAAAAGATAGTTTGCTGAGTGCAGGGGTGTTGGCAAACCACAAAATGGGGAAGAATTATTTTAAAGTTTTTGTAATGTTTTCTAATGTTTTCCAACTTTGTTGAATGTTTCTGAACTTTTGGTAATTTTCCCTAATTTTTTAGAATGTTTAACAGCCTGGCATCCTGTTCCAAGAAGGGTCCCTCTGAAGAGGATCCCAGGGGTGATGAATGACATGTTGAATGTATGTTAATTGGCTGAAGTGATTTTTTTTTGTTTATGAACCATGTATATATCAAATCGAGCGTCATTGTTGTCACATTGTTTTTTGTTTAAGAATTCCTGCCTAATGTCAACTGGTTGGTGGTATACCTACCGTTACCTACCCCTCTGAAAAATGATGGAGTTCGTCAGTTGGGCTTACTATTCCCAACTGAATGGACAGTCATTCAAAATTCCATGGATTGAAACCACCAACCAGGTACAGATAATGGAAAATCACCATGTTTAATGGGTAAATCCACTATAAATGATGATTTTCCACTATATATAAATGGGTACAATCAATAATGAGAAACTGATGATTCAGCACCAAGTCTTGGGGGGTTCCTAATTCCTAATATCATCCCCTTCGGAATTCAGAAAGCTTTGACAAATTGCCGGCCTCCCGTCGTGGCTTAACATTCCGGCAGCGCAGCAACCAACGAAGGGACCAGGGTACAGCATCAGGTTGAGGCCTCGTTGTGGCTGCGATATAGGGCAGCGAAAGCCTGTAGGTTGACGATTAGTCTGAGGCTGAAAAAAACTTGCGAGAAAAAAAGACACTAAACTCATCATGAAAAAAATCAGGGTCCACAAGAATATCAACTAATTGACAAATACGGTTGCTACATGTTGATACTTTATTTGGGTTTATCATCATTGATATTTATGGGAATTCCACTGAAAACCAACCAGTATTTCATGGAATGAGATTACGTGCAAGAGTCACCTACTTCAACGGTGCGGTCTCAGGTTTTGATTAATGCCCAAAGGTTGGATTTCTGATCTGGCATAATTCGGGATACTAAGGTTATGTAAGGTTAACATATACGTGCCCACCACATACCCTCTGGTAAACGTTTACATTTTGCGAACTGGAAAAATCCACCATTGTTAATGGGTAAATCCACTATTTCGACTGGGCCATGTTCGATAGCTTTTTGTATGTTTACCAGAGGGTAAACATCCATTTTCCTATGGTTTTCCTATGGTTTTCCTATGGTTTTCCTATGGTTTTCCTATGGTTTTCCCATTAAAAGCCCTGATAATATCATATTGGTAGCCTGATACATTGCATCCCACCATCATTCGGTATATTCGGTGGCTAACATAAATGCCTACGGCAAAACATCTATGGCAATCGAATGCAATCTATGACCATCCCCTGGTATTCTTATGGTTAAAAGATGTTACCCTCGGTAAACATACAAAAAGCTATTGAAAATGGCCATAGAAATAGTTGATTTTCCCATTGATAGCATGGTGATTTTCTATAGTTTTTTGTAAACGTTTACCAGAGGGTAAAAGAAACAGGAACCATGTAACTTGACCACTTGACCATGTGCAAACGGGTGACCATTCACAATGCTGGCAGGCATAGGTTCATAGTCCTTGAAGCGCAGGTGCAGCTTGGACACGTGGGTGCACACCTCGTTAGCGTGGTGATGCCTTCCAGTGAAAAATCTGCGTGGTGGTTGAAATTAGGTAAAGGCAATGAAAACCATAGAATCTACCATTATGGTAGGTTAACTCTATGGTTTATGTTGGTTTATATGTTCAATAAATCTACCATAAACCATAGAATTCACCTGAATTTCTAGTTCTTCGCACCACAAAATCGATGTCTCAAGGGGCCACCTTGTAAATATGTTGCCAGAAGGGCCGTAATAAACATATCATCCTGGCAACAATGGACTTTGACCCACTTGCAGATAATGAGCAATGGCTGCATGGGTATAGGATGGGTTCTCAAGCTATATAAGGCATTGGAAATGCGCAAGAAATCCAGATGTAGGTCATTTTGAGGAACATAGCATATGGGATTTATGGGTTTGTCTCTAGAAAAACGGGGAAAGAAAAACACATCCACTGGTTAATTGGTATCCTTTGGTAACCCTATTTCAATGGCCATGAATTCGGGGTGCAACCTATTTTCAGACACACCCATGTGTCAATGATTGGTGACACTCACAATAAAAAGAAATAAAACTTAGTCACCTAGTTATTCATTCCAAGACATACTTGGTCTATACATATGACACGTTTCTACCCCCATCTAGACTAAATACCAGACTAATACCACTCCAGTCCAAATGTGTAGACCAATGCCGATACTGTATGGCGTTAGACCGGACGGAGCCTTCGCAAACAGACATGTTTGCCATAGTCAAAACATGGTATTTACGATGGTATGGTGTCCCACTTCCGATTCCTTGTAGGTAGCTCAACCCGATGGATTGATCATCTTCGATGGGAAAATCCACGCGAAAGCAGCGGTGGTGGCGGTTTGGTGGGGCCATGGGTGAGATGATGATCAACCATCGGATACCATCGGTATAACGTGTACAATCACCAAGTTTCCGCTATCCCGTGTTCTCTTTGACCCATTTTTGAGTCCCAATCCCAACTGGGACCTTCCCAACAGCTATCGATACATATCGATACTAAGCTCCCAACCAGGGAAGATGAGCAAGCAGTATCGATGGTCATGCTTGCTCCCTGACCCGGGAGGCTGCTGGACCGACACTGGTTGGTGGTGCAATGTCAATGTGCCCATCTTGAAAAATGATGGACTTCTTCAATGGGTTTCGGATGACATCCCATATATGAAATGGAAAATAATCCATTCATGTTCGAAACCACCAAGCAGTACACATTCTTGTGACTCTCATGGAGGAACACTCCGATCAGGGATCACATGTTGGGTGACCACTCTCATGCCATCGATGCGATCTGTGCTATGATCATCCCATGTCATGACAATCATGGGAATCACCAGCGAACTGGGATGGTCTATTCTCAAACACAACCAGTCGGGTGGTCTGTATTTGAAACCACGAAAAAAAAAGGTGGCACATACCCTTCACATCGGTCAATTGGTGTAGTTTTCAGAGAAAATCAATAGCAAATCAAGGGACTGTTTCCTCAGTGCAATTAGCAAGTTGACGTATCCCCCATCGATAAACCCATGTATGTTTCCCCAACTTCCAGGGGATCACAGATTGGGCCGGCAACTGACTCAACCCATCTCCACGGCGAGAAGATCCCTAAAAAAAACGAACTTCCAGATCAGTGCCTTCAAGTTATGGTTAAATTCCTAACAAATGGTTGGAGAATTATATAGAATTATCCATTTAATAAAATAGAAACCATTCAAGTTTATGTTAAACCATGTACCGATATGGAGGTTTCCCAGAATGGAGGTACCACCAAAACCATTGGTTTTAATACTAAAATGATGTAATTTTGGATGATCTATACCCATGATGTATTCATATTCCCTCAAATCTCATCTGGTTTAACCCAATGGTGAAATCCATCCTGGAGTTGTTTTTTTCCGGTCCCCCAATGAAAAATGTCGATATTATATTTATCCATTTAAACAACAATGTTAGATCTCTTTAAAAAAAAGAACAGACAGTGTCTGAAACTGGTGGATCTTCATCCCATCAACACTGGTTGGTGGTATACCTACCCGTCTGAAAAATGATGGAGTTCGTCAGTTGGGGCCCGATGACATTCCCAACTGAATGGAAAGTCATAATCCAGCCATGTTCCAGTCACCACCAACCAAATATCTCATTAACCAGTATCAACCATTATTAACCACTATTAACCATCATTAACCATAATCATTCATGTTCCAGTCACCACCAACCAGCTATAGATAATGGAAAATCACCATTTTCAATGGGTAAATCCACTATAAATGGCCATGTTCCAGTCACCACCAACCAGCAGTAGTTCCATATACAACTGGGTTATACTGATATAACCACTATTATCCCATATATGATGGAAAAATAACATGTTCCAGTCACCACCAACCAGAACAGATTTGGCAGTGTGTCAAAACCAATAGTACCCCTTCTGTTCACATCAAAATAGCTGGGATTTATGGATGTGAATAACCCACTAAAAATGTATCTATAGGTATTGACCCATACCCATTTGGGAAATGGAAAATCCACTATAAATGGCCATGTTATCCATGTTCCAGTCACCACCAACCAGAACAGATCCCGGCGCCTTCAAGTTCATGGAATACGAGAAGCGGTTGGACGTGATGGCATTGGCCGCTGCCGCCGCGCCATGAGCTCCAGAAAGGTCCAACATGCCCGCAGCACTCATGCCTCGGCGCTACCCGGCTATCAACCACTGCCCTTTTAACGGAAGATGGCTGGAAAATTGGAAAATCCCAAAAAAAATCGAGGTTTATAAGTGCTTTATAGCTCAGAAAATCATCAAATGCTGTTCCATTGTCATGTTTGATGGAGGTTAAACTTGTTTGAAATTGGTGAACTTGGTGGACTGAAACGGTGGTACGAAACTTGGAACTTCCTGCGTTCCAAACGTCTCCATAGTATCCCATCCTATGAAATATTTGTGGGTTGATAGGAATACCTGTTCTGGCGGTTTTTCAACAATCCGGGATAATGACAACAGGGATACCTATCAACAAATCACAACAATCCAACTAGAACATTAACAATAACCACCAATAAACACCAATAAACACGTAGTATTTATACTAGGTTATGTTGTGATGTGTATATATATATGTATAGGTTTATACTATGTTATGTTGTTATCATAGAATAACCAATCACCAGAAGGTTTTTTTTCGTTCGTGCCAGAGGTGGGACCTATGGATTCTCAAGAGAAATGGGGATTTCAGTAGAAATTTTGGATTCAACCAGTCTGGATTTAACCAGCAAAAGTTTGGACCAGTCGCCAGCAGAAATCGTTTTTTAAGCCGCAACAAATCGGGACTTAACCTGGAAAATTTGGTGGTCAAAATGTCCAGCATTTTTTTTTCGCCAAAACATGGACTATGTTTTACACCAGAGGAGTAACATCTTGTGGAATATCAACTGCAAAAGAATGAGCAATTCACCATGATACACCAAAAATTGTGTGAAAGACCCATATATAGAATATGTTCATATATATATAGCATATATATATAGATATATACATCATATATATATACATCATATATACATATATATATATCACATATATATACATACGACTGAGCACCTTTCTGTTCCATCAGTTTGACTTCGCCATACTTTGCCATTGAGGAAACTGGATGTCGTTTTTGGAGCTTTGGGGTCCCAAAAACCACACCCTGATTTAGCCTTTCTGGCTCCACCCACTCATTCTAGCAATTCTTGAAGAAAGATCCTTCTCTGGAAGAAATACCCTTCAAGTTTCAACCTCCATCAAAATCAGACTTCTCAACATCTTTTTTTCCGGAACATCCAGCCTCCCTCCCGCAAAATAAAATCCCAGTGGCACATCCAATCGTCCTTATCGATCCCAACAAAGTGGCCGATATGCTGTGCTTCTCGTTGCAAGCTCCTGTGGTTACCCTCCGGTAGACTAACAGAACTATTGAAAATTGCCCATTTATAGTTGATTCACCCAATAAACATTGTGATTTTCCATGGTTATGTTAGTTTACCAAAGGGCAGCACTTGTACCCATTGGGCCTAACATCGTGAGCATATGAACTCGGTAACGAAGGGGCCGGTGAATGTCACATCTGTTGTGGATGTTACATGATTTTCACCTGGGTTTAAATTGTGGATATTAAATTATCCCAATTTTGTGAATGTTTAAACAAAATCACTTCAGACCGACTCAGACCTGTGGATCAGCAGCCGGCACGTGATGGAAAAATGCAGGTCTGTGTCTGTGAACATGAGGGATTTATGACCAACGATGATTGAAACTATGGGCTTCGATGGAAATAGAAGTGAGAAGAACAACAATTGCTAAGACTACCTCTGGTAAACGTTTACATAACTATGGAAAATTACCATTTTCAATGGGTAAATCCACTATAAATCACAATGTTCAATAGCAAACTGTTAAATTACCAAAGACTAAGACCCAGGAAGTTGCTATCACACCTGGAAAACGTGGGATTCAACCAAAGGAGAGGCAAATTCCCATGGGAAATCCATGGAGAAAAAACCAGCACGAGGCGTGGTGAGCATCCCGCTGCCAGCTGCCAAGGATTTGATAATTGGATAACTGGTTGGTGGCTTTTCGCCCTACCCATCTGAAAACTCTTGGTCAATTGGGATGATGACATTCCCAACTGAATGGAAAGTCATGTTCAAGCCATGTTCCAGTCACCACCAACCAGAAGTGGCGAAGTGGCAGTGTTTTTGATTTACTCCAAAACCGCTGATAAGAATTGATGATCATTGACATGGAGAATCACTGATTGCAAGAGGGTTTAAAATTCATTTTTCATAATCATTGAGAACAGTTGATCATCATTGACATTCAGAAGTGCAATTGGATAACAATTCATAACAATTGGATAACAATTCATTGATTCATGAAAATATCCATTGGAGAAGTCTTTGGTTTTGTCAATGGGGGAATCAACTGCAACATGAATCGAAGCTGATGGGAATTAGCCATGGGAATTAGGCGTCTAATTGGAGCGTTGGACCATTGGTTAATCATTGGATATGATGGAAAAGGGTTCCTTCATTTCTGATAGTTCATCTCAATGATATTAATGGTAAACATTCAAAGGATTTCAAAGGTCTAGGTTGACTAATGATGGCTAATCACTGGTGAATCAGCGGATAACTTAGATTTTCCAATGATTCATGGGTTGACTAATCACTGGTTGGTGGTTGAGCCTACCCCCCTGAAAAATGATGGAGTTCGTCAGTTGGGAATATGATTCCCTATATATGGAAAAATGAAATTTATGTTCCAAACCACCAACCAGATGAAAACTAGTTCAGTAAATCTACCATAAACCATAGAGAATTCCCTGTTAATCAATGTTTTTATCAATCTACTACCAATCGACCAGATCATCGTTAATCAATGTTAATCATAGCTATTTCCTGTGACTTCCCCCAGAGGTCCTCTTGTCATAACCACCTTCCAGGAGAGCCATGTAGGACACCTCCATGACCTGCGGGCGCTCAACATGAAATAGAGCCTGTTTCTGTCGTCTCCAGACCTTCCAAAAATCCTCTGGTTTGTGATTGGTCAACTACCCCTCTGAAAAATGATGGAGTGAAAGTCAGTTGGGGCCCGATGACATTCCCAACTGAATGGAAAGTCATAATCCAGCCATGTTCCAAACCACCAACCAGTGGTGATTTCCCCAAGTGTGTATAATTATCTTTCTCCCAGGGCATCCCAACCATTTCTGGCTCAAGCCGATCCTCACCTGGCGCTGACAGGGATCCATTCCCTTGGCTTCCATGGGAGAAATCTCGAAGAACTTGCCTGAGTTCTCAAGCGGGCTGGCAGAGATCCAAGGCTGCTATATTTTTTGGATAACCAAGCCTGGTAAATTAACAAAGACCCTGAAAATCACCCATTTGTAGTGGAAACTCATCTTCCAACCCCTATCTGGCAGGGTCTATGTTAATTTACTAGAGGATAACCAAGCCTGGAGTGACCAAAAATTGGGGAGGGTAATTTTTATCTATCCAGATACATGGAGCATAACCCGCCCCATATAACTATGGTTTCCAACTTTCCAGCTATGGGATTTATAGCTACAGTAAATATATATGGGGTCCCTACAACTGTTGTGCACTATAACTCACTTATTAGGGGAACCGCACCCCCAGTATGACCCTAAGGCAATTGGAGCACCAATAGACCCACAAAATTCATGTCACCATGCAAATAAAGCGCACCAGGCTTTAGACAGCCTAAGGAAAATCAAGCTCTTTTGTGCATGTTGTCACGAAAGAACATCGCAGTCAGACAGACTCTTTCTTTCTGGATAATTTCCTCCTCGATCCCTGGATTCTTTGGAAAAAATCAGCACGATTTCTCCTCATTTGAAGCGTTTTTTTATGTCCGGACCCAAAACAAATAAATAAATAAATAAACAAATAAATAAATATGTCTATATTATTATATATATATCATCCACGCTACTAGAGGAAAGGACTCTTCATGATGATTGCGTCCTCCGTTTTGTTGGATACATTCTCATTCAGCGGTTTGTTTTATCACTAGCCATCATGAGTCAAACCTGGTGACCCACCAAGTACCTCGAAAAGTTGGCTAATACACATACTGATTGGTGGTTTTAACCATCTTGAAAAATATGAAAGTCAGTTGGGAAGGATTATCCCATATATGGAAAAGCAAGAAATGCTTGAAACCACCAACCAGTTAGCATTTTTTAGCCAATTTCTATGGGTACAACTGGCAAGGATCTAGGACCTATCGGAACATTCACCATCTATCCCCCGTTGCTTTCCCCAGCCCCCGTTGCTACCGGCATCAGCCAGGCTGCAATCAAAGAGATCCACTCCTTCGATGCCAAAGCATCCGTGGCGCGTGTAGCTTCCACCGAAGGAGCTCTCGGGGTCGAAGTAAGGACCGTGGTCCCAACCTGCAGCTATGATTCTAGTGGTTATGGTAACAAGTTTATCATAGCTGGATTGTATAATATATATATATAATTATATATATATATGAATATCTGCCTCCAAAATCAAAGTTATCTGATAGTCAAGATATAGTCATAGAATGTCATAGGTTGATCTATTTGTTCAGGGCCTGGATGCCCCGTTCCGTGTTCCAGCAAGGCTATTGGTAATCCAAATCCCCCGTTCATGTCAAATATCCATCAGAAACCATGGTGGATGCCATGGATGAAAATCACATATTTGGGACCACACATTGTTTGGGTGTGCAATATGAACGGGGTGAATGGAATTACCATAAGTTGTGATGAAGTTCCGATTTCAGTCAAGTCAACTACCACTTTCTGTGCCATAAGCCACTGGGATGATCATGGTTCGAATCCATCTTGCAGAGTTTAACACCAATCATTTGTGGAATTTTCTCAAGGCAATTATATTCAAAAAAAACAACTGCTATCAGGATCTATCAAGTCAATTTGTCCACTATCCATCAACTTCTAACCTTCACAGATTTATATAGTTTTAGAAACCATTAAAAAAATACATTCAATTGGAATATCTTCACATGTCTATAGTTTTAGAACCCATTCAATGATATTCAATTGGGATATCTCAATCTTCACATTTCTACCTTACATTTCTACTTTAGAAACCAGAAAAAAAAACATGGATGTGTCATGATACCCTCTGGTAAACTAACCTAACTATGGAAAATCACAATTTTTAATGGGTAAATCAACTATAAATGGCTATCTTCAATAGCAAACTGTTAGTTTACCAGAGGGTATTTCCGAGTTTAGAAACCATTTAAACCAGGGATATCTCCCTGGTGCCACCCTGGGCGAAAAAACGCGTACCCAGCCACGACTCACGGGAATCTCCGTAAGGCCGTCGATGGAGGCTTTGGCCGCAGCCTGCCAGAACCTTGGCGTGGAACGTTTGGAAGAGATGATGATCCATCAATGATTATAATTAGTATATCATGGGTCATTAAATGTCCCCATTGTTCCAGTTTCCAGCTTTTTTTAAGACTTTTCAATTATCCATCTGGTTATGACTAACATAGCCATGGAAAATCACAATTTCTAATAGGTAAACAATCTATTTCTATGGGTTATTTTCCATGGCTATGTCAAATAACCAGAGGGTATATGGATAATATATGGATCATGATAATGATATGATCATAAACATCATTAATGATAACAATGGATCATATATATGAAAATGATAGTGGTACATTAATATGATAATATATGACATTAATGATAATATATGGTAATACATGGGTGCATGAATGATATTAATGTGGATCATTCATGATATTAAGCATGATATTGTAATATATGATATTTAATGATACATTAATGATAATATATAATGATATGTCCAATGATTATGATAATGATATGCCATTAATGATACTATATGATAATACATTAATGATGTTTAATATATTAGATGTTAATGATAATGTATGATTAATGTATGGATATTGGATTTTTCCATTAAATAATGATGTCTAAGATATCATATATAATTATGATCCGCATGAATTATGATCCATTAATCATAATGTATGATTAATGTATGACCATACCCAAATGGGTTTTGCACAGTGACAATGACAATGATGATCAATTATCGATAAATTCCTCATGAATGACATGTATAGCTGATCATCATAATGATATATAATTAATTTATATATATATAATGATCCACAATGATGATTCATGTATGATATCTCATGACATAATTAACTATTTGTGATGAACTGTGTTTAATGTTGCTCAATGATATATAGAGTTCATTGAATTGATACTGAGTGTAATCTCTGAATATATTATAGTATATACCATTATAATTCAAAATATATATATATAATAAATATATCACATCAAAAGTATACGAAATATTTCATAGTATGTCCCATTATAATACTGTACATTAATAATCATTAACATGTAACTCATAATCTATCCCATTATAGTTCTAACATATTCTAACTACAAATTATAAACGATATGATGAATGACATTTATTGTAAGTTAAATGATGAGTTATGTCTTGTATATATATAGTTAGAAATGATAGTTCAGTAGTTCATATAGTCTAGGCATTATATTCGTCTATGAAGTATAGCGTTGATAATAGAAGTCTATGAATTCTATGAATTCCTGGATATAGTATATAGTAGTAGGATTATAGGATTAGATAGATAGATATATATATATGTGAATATTGCTATATATGTGAATATTGCTAGTGACAGTTTTAGTTTACACTATAGACTATATCATATGTATACATATATACATATATATATATCATTGTACATATTGTATATCTATATATTATTGACTGGCAGACAAAATTACTTACTACCCACTTTCTGTACATGGCCAAAGTGGGTGGTCCCCACTACCTGTTGTCTTTGTTGTCTTCGGCTAATTCCGTCGATTAACTCATATATATATATATATATCATAGGCAACCAAAAAAAAATAGTGGTTGCCATTGTTTTTTTCATACCGTAGATACATGTTTCAAACACGTATGTTCAGCAATGGTAATATGATGTAATATGATGTGATATAAGATATCCATGAGAATTCACCCAAAAATAGGATGGCATGGATTGATACTTTCATGTTCTAATGGCAAATGGCTATGGTGTCATGGGGATTGTTTGGCTTTGTGTTATTCAAAACAAAGGTTTTTAGTGGGAAAGTGGGCAAGTGTTTTTCTATGGTTTGCTGGTATTTTCCATATTAGCCATGAATAAACCCTGAGCGTCCACATTAATATGTATGAGTAAGTTTATGGGCAAATGTTATGATAAATTAATTGACAGGGTTCCATAAAGAACCAACTAACCATGGCAGTTAAGGAACATTATGAAACGCGTACAGTAGTTTACTCTGGGTTTGTTGAGTTATTGGGTGTACGTTAACTTACAATGTTGATTAGTTCATTTACGCGGCTAACATATGGTTGAAATATTCTTGGGGATGACAGAGTAACAACCCATCTGTTTTGTTGTGCGATGTGAAGGATTTATGTGCTGCAAGGGACTTGTGGGAAAAACAAATCTATATATATATATGGGGGTTGTCCAAAATACTTTTTCCCGGACAGCCCTCAATCGCTCAGCCAATCGCGTAGCAACCGCGGTACCACAGTGAGCAATCGCGGAAGGGTTTTGTTCTTCGTTGATCTGATCATATACTTAAAATATAAGTTATGTATTAAATAATGAATCGTGACAAAAAATCTTATGCCAATTCTTAGTAATATTATTGCATTTCGGTTGTATGTGAAACACGTTTGCCGTCTCAGCAGTGCTGCGGCGCTGCCACCGCCATGAAGAGCTATACCTTGGCTGGCTGACTGTGTTTGTTGTTAACACAACGGAGCCAACTCACTGGAAAATCTAAAAAGATTCCATGTATAAAAATTGGGTTGGTACGGCACTTCCGGATCATGAACATTGGAGGGTTTCTGACTGGTTTCTGACTGGTTTCTGACATGTTCCGGATATATGACTAGACTTCCACGCTATATAGCACCGATGGTGATACATGGTTGTAGAAGCCTGGTACCTAATGGCTATCTTCGTGCCTACCCAAAATATACCACCGGTACCATAGAAAACTTGTCCGCACCCAGCTGCTGGAAAGTTCAAGACAAGACACGGTGGAAAAGACATTCTCACTGGCTTCACTCTACTTCTGGCCTCCTGGCGTACGAGACAACTTGTCCGTGAAGTATGCGATGCATATGAATTTCTGAATGAGGGCACCGTCTCGCTTCCAAGTGTATCTGCTTTCATATGTCAAATTAAATTAGACTTCATTAGTTCTAACTATAGTACATCCTATCATAAACCGCTGCTGTACTTGTATCCAGTTTCAATGGAACATGGAAGCAAAAACAAAGAACGGTTTGAAAATAGACGCCATTCATGATGGATGGCACGGCCCAGCTGGTTTCTGACTGGTTTCTGACTCTCCTGCAGACGTGTGTGAAAACTAAGGAAAAGGGTAAGTCTGACTCCTAGTTTGAAATATCTGTTGTCCAGGCAATGATTCGGGCCTGGCACACTGGCCATTGCTGCAACAGCATATGCCGAATCAAACCGTGCTTATACGCTTTGAAGATCAACAAGCATAAAAAAAGGCCCTACGACGACAGTCCGATGACAAATCGCAAACAATCTTTCGCCTGATCTTGTACAACTGGTGGGTTCCCCCCTGACAATTTACGAACGGCCTAATCTTTTTTCTCGCTGTGTTCAAGATCTGCCTTGAGATAGCTGACCCCAAGCTTGAGTGGACGAACCCCTCCACTGGCTACCCAAAAAAGTTCAAGAGCTCAGTCACCTGCGCTCAATCGACATTTTCAGCCACGCGGATCTTTTGAGGACCCTTGTTATGGGCTTTCTGTCGAGTCTTGTTTTCAAGGGCTTTCTTCTTTTTGCACTTCTTACAGAAACGGCCTGTAATCTTTCCCTGCTTGCACTGGTACCAGGCTGACCGACGGGATCGAGGGACCCCACAGCCTTGGCATTGCTGAAACAAGGGCTCTTTGCTACCGGTAGGGTTTCGGTTCTTGGACTGGTCAATGCAGAAAGCACGTTTGGGCGCTTCCAAGACCGCAACTCTGTTCTGTAAGTCCTTGACCTGCTCTCCCATCTCGCAAAGATGCTTCAACAAGCGGTTGAAGCCAGCTTCTGGTACTAGAAGGTGCCCAGACACAGGGTCAACCGAAGAAGGGTCATAGACATCTTCAAGTTCAAAGTTGCGGTCATGCCCAGGCGTTGGGTAAAGCACTCTGCAGACAGAGGCGTGGACATCAGGCTGCATCTTGACCCAGTTCACCTCATGCTGAAACTGACGGTAGAAGCCATTTTTTTTAAAAGTAAACGGAACCAGGAGACACACGGACAGGATACTAAACTAAAAGGACATGCCGATACTGCAAACAATAATGAGCCTGTGGCCTGTTGCAATAACGTTTCTTCTTGCATACCTATAGCTATATCATGGTGGTACCTTGGTTAAGTGCTGGCGAGGCACACTGCCATCCTTCCGTTGCACCTCTATGCCGTGTTCCCAAAGCTGCCGCGGGGACTGGAACTCCCACGCGTAACAGCCTGCCGTGCCAGACTTCTCAGCCAAGAACATTGCAAGCTGATGCTCTGGCACCAGGTGCATGTCCTGACAGGCAACCAACTTCGCCTTCGTGAGCCACTTGCACCCGGTGAGCCTACACAAAAATGAGCATTAAACCGGTCGCAAGAATTGGGAGAGTTGATCTATCTAAGAGGTTGATACTCGTACAGCATCTGCAAACAAATTGTGTGAACACGCAGACGTCAAGAGATTTAAAATGTGCCCAACACATGGAAACACCTACTTCTTGGTCAAAAAGTCTGTGGTCCCAATGCCCGATAACCGCATGCAGACCAAGAACCTGACAGCACCTTGGACCACATTGCTGCCACTTTGGAGTAGAGCAATGTCATGGCCCAAGCGACGACAAGGTTGCGTGCGAAGCTCATAGCATTTCTTCCCTGCTAGCACTAAGTCTAGCCACTGCTTCTGCAGTGTGAAAGCAGACTCGTACAAGGCCATTTGGCCTAGAGACTGCGTGAAACGCCTTAGCCCCTAGCTGGAGTCGAGACGAGGGCAACGTGGCGAGAGCAATGTGATCTGCTTGCAACTGCAACTCGCCCAACAAACATGTCACCACAGCCCGCGAGAATTGGAAGAAGGCTCTGAATATTTCAATCCGGAAATTTCTCAAGACGTCATCGCACAAATATCAAAAGCGGTCTCTTTCTATTTCATTCTCCCCAGAGTCTGGCAGAAATCAGAAATCATAGAGCAAACACTATGGCAACCGCTCTGCTGCATCCAACGGGCAACTCTATCGCCTATGACGTTTCATATGACGTTTCGCTACAAAACCCACCAGTCCTTGCAAGTCCAGAAGCTGTAAGGAAGCATACCCGCCGCCCTCCGCTGCCATCGGCTGCCAACGGCCAAATCTGATATTAAAGTGGTAGGTAGTGTGACGGAACATAGAAACAAATATCTGCAAAACCCTCGCACACAGCCAATTTTGCTTCGATTTCCGGGCTATGAAAACTGGATGGGTGTCTTGCGGTTCGTCAAACAGCAACAAAATGTTTTCGTCATCTACTCTGTTTTGCTGCCATCTCTGATTCACGTCCCTTTTCTTCAGCTGCCTCCTGCTCCAAACCTTTCAAAAATAGCCGCTCATCTTATACTATGTTGATCAACCCTAGCAGCCTGAGGCCAACAGGACACCGTCCAGTGATTCATGCGTGCACGCATGAGCCCTACAAATTAATTGACTAGAAAGGTTGCAACAAATTGGACACCGGTCTTCTACCCTGTTTTGCTGCCGTCTCTCACTCACGTCCCTTTTCTTCAGCTGCCTCATGCTCCAAACCCATGAGTCGATAAAACCGCTCATGTTATACTGTGTCGATCAACCCTAGCAGCGCAGCCAACCGGACATTCTCGGGCAATCTGTGCGTCAAGGTGAGGAGGAGGAGGAGGAGTAGTAGAGTAGTAGGAGTAGGAGTAGGAGTAGTAGTAGTAGTAGTAGTAGTCGTAGTAGCAAAAGTACTATCATTGGAACTAGTAGTACTAGGAGGGACACGGAGAAGGAGAGGCAGAGGGAGAGAGAGACGGACGAGGGAGGATGGATGGTTGTGTTTGGCCGGTTTCTCCCTGGTTTCTGACTGGTTTCTGACTGGTTTCTGACTTGTTTCTGAACCTTCGGTGGGACTTGCGTCAATTGGAAAAGCGAAGGCAGAAATTCCCAGCAAGTGGTGTAGCTTGGAATGGTGGTCGTAGTAGTATTGGCAAGAAAGAGGAGAGAAGTTGCCATGATGCCCATCTCATGTCTGGGTCTCACCATTCCAGACTCCCTGGAAAGAGATGGGCATCAAAGCTTCGAAAAGGAAAGTGAAAACGGAGAGAAGTTGCCACGATGTCCGTCTCATGTCTGGGTCTCACCATTCCAGACTCCCTTGAATGAGACGCACATCACAGCGTCGAAAAGGAAAGTAAGAACGGAAGAAGAAAGAAAAGAGAAGTTGCCATGATGTCCATCTCATGTCTGGGTCTCACCATTCCAGACTCCCTGGAAAGAGATGGGCATCAAAGCTTCGAAAAGGAAAGTGAAAACGGAGAGAAGTTGCCACGATGTCCGTCTCATGTCTGGGTCTCACCATTCCAGACTCCCTTGAAAGAGACGCACATCACAGCGTCGAAAAGGAAAGTAAGAACGGAAGAGGAAAGAAAAGAGAAGTTGCCATGATGTCCATCTCATGTCTGGGTCTCACCATTCCAAACTCCCTGGAAAGAGATGCGCATCAAAGCGTCTAAAAGGAAAGTGAGAACGAAAGAAGAAAGAGGAGAGAAGTTGCCATTGCGCGCAGGCTTCCGAATGGGGTCATCAAAAGCCGTCGCGGGAGGAGGCCAAGTCTGACGACCAAGTTATCCAGCAAGTCTTTGGTTGCATGTTGCAATATAGCCGGGAGAGCAGCGTGCGTTTGAAACGGCTTCGTTGTTGAGAGCTTATTGAATGGCAATCTGCGCAATGTGGTTGCTTGGGCTCAGTTCCCAAAACTCGGTAGGACGTGGTGCAAGTGCAAGTGGGCAATCAAACCGCAACGTTTGACAGACTATTGCGAAAATTGCGATCTGCATGAGCCCTCTATTCTCCCTGAAGTGAAGTTGTTGCCAAGTATGGCAAGACTGCGTTGGAGAGCGTGATGCCTCAGTATTCCGCTGGTTTAAGCCAGGGCCAAACAATGACAAAGTGGAGGAACTGCTGTGTCTGAGACGGCTTGCGCAAGGATACTTTTTTATGGAACCTGCCGCATGGAGATGACTTGCTGGGGATGAATCCTTTTTTTAAAGCAACGCGCCATTCCTGGCGTCAAGCGCATCCTAGCGCTGTCTCTGACATCATCGATGTGAGTACATTGGTGCCTAACCTGTTGCGTAAGGAGGCGGCTAAACACATTGAACACATTGACACGCTTGACCCCATTTCTGAAGTCATTGTCTGGAGCGATTGCGGGCCCAATTCCAAGTCGTATGACCACTGTGCTGGCTGGATTGGGGAATAGGTGGAACCTTCTCCAAACAGGACTATCCGTTTATGCTTTTTTGGCGAGACGCATGGAAAAGGCCAAGTTGATGGACTCTTCGGTAAAGTTGAAGGCTGGCCTATATATTGTTTCAAAACATATGGCTACCGAATTGCTGCCATAGATGCAATGGAAGAAACGTTTCGCTCCTACGCGTGAAAAGTAAAAGAAAATTTGTCCGGAGGGCAGTGTGTTGTCATTCGGTGGGAGCCAGATTGCAAGGCAATTGGTCGCTGGATCTTATCCGATGCACCAGGACTTACTGATTATGCATGTGGCCAGGAAGTTAACCTTCGCCTGCTCATCTGATCCGCAACACCCTTGTACAAGACCAAACTTGCGCAGATGTCGTGGAGCCAGGGCAGGCCCCGATCAAAAAGGGACAGTAAGTGGAGACAAAAAATTTTTGGCAACCAACGCTGGGACAAGAAGGAAACGGAAAGGAGCAGTCGAGGGAAAAGGAAGGGGAGAGAGAGACGGAGGGGGGAAACAGATATGATAGTTGCGTTTGGCCGGTTTCTGATTGGTTTCTGACTGGTTTCTGACCCTTCAGCGGGACTCGTGTTAATTGGATTTGAAAGCTTCTGGCAAGAAATTCCTAGGTGTACTAGTGGTAGTGGTGGTGAAGTAGCGGCGGGTGTGGTGGTAGTACTAAGAGTAGTAACAACTCTAGTAATGAGAGTAAGGATCCATGCGTGAACGCATTCGGTTTCAAATTTGGGAGCAAAACAAGCTTGCGCGGTCCGGAAACGGTCCGGAAAACTCACAGTAGTACCAGCAGCAGCAGTAGTGGTAGTGGAAATTGGAATAGGAGTAGGCGTAAGAGTTCTGGTAGGAGGGTGAGGGAATAGGCAAGGGAGAGAGACAGAGAGAGAGGTTGCGGTTGGGCGGTTTCTGACAGGTTTCTGACAGGTTTCTGACTGGTTTCTGACTGATTTCTGACCCCTGAGTGGGACCTTTGTCATTTGGAAAAAAAACAAAAGCAGAACTTTGGACATGTAATAGTGGAGACTGCCAGTATAATGCCACTATATATTCGGATATCTTACCATCTGCCTTACCGATCACCAGCCCCGTTCTATTTTCGACGCATTCCTTTAGGGGTATGCATTAAGTTGCGCAGGGCCCTGGATCGCTCCCCCCAAAGATACCTCCGGTCCGGGGTACACCCGCTTCTGCTGATGGAACCGCTTAAAGTGATCGGCAGGAGCTACTTACAAGATTTTCTAGTCTATCTTTCTATGCACTGTTTGGAGGTTGTATTCGTGGCTCACATCTTTTCAGAGCAGCCGATGCACATGTAGACGGGAACTTTACCGAGCAGCCTCTGAACTTGTTTGAGAGGTGCTAGAGGAACTTGATGAACTCGAACTGTCCTCTGCAGCGGCTTGTTCCTTCATGTGCTGCCATTTCTCTCTTCGCCGGAGAAGCTTGCCTGCATTTATTCGGGCTGTTCGGGCCCATGCTGTTTCCAAATCAGGAAGTTTCATGCGGCGACGTTTATGTTCATCAAAACGTTTCATCACGGTGTCCTCCTCTCCCTGTTTAGGCACCTTCTTGTCCCAGTGTCGGTTGGAAAAAAAGCCTTGTCTCCACTTGGTGTCCTCAATGCTTGCCCACTCGACTTTCGGATATGTTTTGATCGGAGCCTGTCCGTGCCCCACGACATCTGCAAAAGTGTGGTCTTCTATAAGGGTGGTGCGGATCACCAAGCGAGGGTTCCCCGGCACAATGCGTAAGCAGTAGGTCTTGGAGATCTGAAACCCAGGATCTGGTAAGACCCAGCGCCCAATTGGCTTGCAATCTGGCTCCCACCGAATGACAACATACTGCCGTCCTGACGAAGTTTCCTGTGCTTTTCGCGCGTAGGAGCGTAGCACTTGTTCCATTTCATCTATTGCAGCAATGCGGCGGCCAGGTGTTTTCAAATAATCCCGAAGCCACCCTTCCACTTCACCGAAGAGTCCATCAACCTGGCCTTTTCCATGCTTCTCGCCAAAAAAGCATAAACGGATAGTCCTGTTTGGAGAAGCTTCCACCCATTCCCCAATCCAGCCAGCACAGTGGTCATACGACTTGTAGTGGGGGCCGCAATCGCTCCAGGCGATGACTTCAGAAATGGCATCAAAATTGTCAATGTGTTTGGCCACCTCCTTGTACAACAGGTTAGACACCAATGTACTGTGTTCGATGATAGAAGAGAGCACCAGGATGTGCTTGGTGCAAAGAACTTCGCCTTGCTTTTGAAAAAGGATGCATCCCCAGCAGGTCATCTCCATCCGGCTGGTTCCATAAAACATGAGCCCAGTTTCTGCATGGGCCATTGGAATGGTCAGGTTCTGCTTAAAATCACTCCACAGCAGAACCTGGGTTGGAGACAAGTCCTGCAGGCATTTTTCAAAAGCTTGCGCTTGCCGCCGGGCCACCAGCTTGTGCCACCGGTAACTCTCAGCTACACGTATCTCCCAGGACATACGATGGCACAATTTGGCCTCCGTCTCATGCAAATGGACTCTTTGGGGGCCAGTGAGGCGACGTTCTCGTTGCAAGCGGTTCTTGTCCGCATGTCCCTGCACAAACCGTCGCATACACAGGAGTTCGTCAACTTTGTCACTGTCGGGCGCTGGCTGAAAACCAGCGAAATACTGGGGCATCATACTCTCGTCTTGCTTCTTTGCAACAATTTCGAAACTCCAGGGAGAATAGAGGACTCATACAGGTGGCAATAGTCACAGTAGTCTGTCAAACGTTGCGGTTTGATTGCCCACTTGCACCGCGTCTTGACGATTTTGTGGAACTGAGCCCAAGCAACCACATTGCACAGATTGCCATCCCAATAAGCTCTCAACAACGAAGTCGTGAGGTGCCGGGCGTTGCGCCCTTCAGCTTTCAGCCACACGCTGCTCTCCTGACTATGTTGCAAAATGCAATCGACGACTTGCTGGATGACTTTGGGGTCGTCAGACTTGGCCTTCCTCCCGCGACGGCTTTTGATGACCCCATCCTTGGCCTTGGCTTGGCGCCACTTTTCCCTGGAGATGGGCAAGCCCCATAAGCGTACTTTGCGGCAGGACGTATCAACTGTGGTTGTCACACTCACATCAAAAGCATGCAAAGGTTCGCCTGACAGTTTGGCGCGAAAGTTCGCCAATGCTGGCGCTATTCTCTGGCAAGCGGGACAGTCTGAGGATGAAGCTGCTGACTCTGGAAACTGACGGGCAAGTTGCTTTTGCAAAAGGGTTAGTACAGCTGACACGTCTTCGGCCGTCTCGGCCTCTGCCACCAAGCGTTCCGTCAGCTCCTTGGACAATTTGCGACGATGCGCAGCTGTCATTCCGGTGGACTTTTCAACCGCCTTGGGCGGAAGCCACACCTCTGCTTCTGCCGGGTGACCTTCCGGGGCAGGAGCCCATGCTACTCCCAATAGCTCTGCAGACTTGGCATCCATCAAGCCAGTACGCAGCGCAGGAGCACCTGGGGTAATCTTATCTTGCTCCGCAGCGGGAAGCCACTGAAAAAAGTGTCTGCTCGCCCGCAGTTTCCAATTCTTCCGTGCGTCCTTGTTTGCGGATGAAGAGCCCAGCTGTCTTTGAGCTGCTTGATCCAACTCGTTGCCCAAGGCTTGGGCAGTTGCAGCTTGTGCCATGTTGACTAACTTGTTAAACTGAACTGAAGACAAAGTCCCCGCAATAGTTAGGTCTCGCCGACCTCTTGATGCTTGCGGCTGCCCTTCTCGGATCCATGTTTGGAAAATTTCCGCCAGCGACATGGCTATACGTGGGCAAGACCTCACATAAGGATTGTTTGCAATCGCGCATCAATCGCGTATCAACCGCGAATTTTCCGAGCTACTCTGGACACTTAGTTGTTATCTATATGTACCTCATGTCATCTCACGTCACATGCTATGTCATTCAGCTGCTGGCAAAAAGTAGAGCCTCTCTGCGGCTCTGACATGCAAATCTGACAGCTTGCTTTCTGTCTAAGATGATCAAAGCACAGCGAGTGCAGCCAAGGAAGTGCAGAATGGAAAGGCAAAAAGAACGGATATGTCTCTTTCTCAGCAGTCCTAACGAATTGATCATGAGGCATGAAATAAAGGAAATCACGACAGATCTGCACGGAAAGGTTTGTGCATGTCCTTGTCACTGCCCTTGCCATGTTGTTGTCTGCACACGCTCTTTTTTTCATCGTCCCACACGATGCTCACAGAGTTAGCTCGGCTTTGGACCGGTGCGGTCACTGCCGGCCAAAGGCAGCCCCAGCTTGGATGTTGGACAACCAAGACGACCAAAGAGAAAGCCGGAAGGCAGGGATTAATCGGCATCTGCAGCGTTGCGCATCCGTTTGATCACAGCTTCGGCAACAGCTTCTGCGAAGCGCTTCTGCCGCAAAATGTCCTCATGGTGCTCGTCACAATTGGACCGGGCTTGGGCTGACAACTCAGCAATCTTCTGCCGCTGTTCCTCCGTGAGCTCTAAGTAGCGACGACAGTCTTGCTGGCGCATGACCTTCTCGCACCATTTGCACAAGTTCCTCATAGCCGGCGCGCCAGGCAATGGCATCAGTCTTTTCGGTGTCTCTAACTATTTGCAGGGAGTAACATGTATGTATATATATATATTAGTATTTATCGAAGGAAGTTTAGAAGTCAAGCTTCCGACAATATGGACAGATGAAAAGCAGAGCAGGGAAGAGGCAGAGAGAAGAGAAAGATTAGAAGAGAGAAGATTAGAAGAGAGAAGATCAGAGAAGAGAAAGAGTCAGCAGAAAGAAGCTGCAGATGCGCAAAAAGGTAGGAAAGTCGCGATTCACTGTGTCTTTCCAATGATTTGTGGCTCCGGAGGGTCGAAAAGTAGGCTCGCAAAAGCGGCGGGTGCGGAGCCAGCTGGCCAGATGAGAGATGAAAAAGTGTACGCCGTTGTGGCGCGAAGCACATTTCGAAGTGAAAATGCACAAAACATACCATGCTCGAACCACTTTTGGAAGTTGAGATGTCGAAAAAGTGCACGCCGTTGTGGCGCGAAGCATATTTTGAAGTCAAAATGTTAAAAACACCGGGGGTTCGGACATCCAAAGAAATTAATTGAAACCTGAGCGGCCCGCGGAAAGAGTGGTGCCGGGCAATTTGGCAGACGACACATGAGTCCATGCGTTTGACGCTCCTGCCACCAAAGTTGTGCCTGCCATGCACTTTCTCCGTGCTGAATCCGAGGGCTTCTCTGCCACAAATGGACCTCACTGGAGTCTTTGGCGCTTCAACCACAGCCTGGCCGAGCGTTGTTCATCAGAGTGTTTTGGAATTTTGTGATTCCAAAAGGCTTGCGCGTTGAAGGATAATGGCGTCCATCAGCTCTGGGTAGAATAACAACTTTACCTTGCAGACTTGTCAAAAATTAACCACAAACAAATTAACCACAAACGATCGTTTTGGGCACTGAACCATCTGATGCTTTGTGTTTCTGTCTGGCCTCCTGGGCTGCATCACCCACAACTGGAGCCCTTGGCTGCTCATCCGCAACCGCAGCCGCTGGTTCATCCGGATCTGCCTTAAGGACAGTCATGCCTTTGTCAGTCAACTGCTTTTCACCACGTGTGCTCCAAGCCCAGCTCACGCAGCCGGACTTGTCCTTCACAAGAAATGCACGGTGGTGGACCGCCATGTCACATTTCAAAGTGTAGGCACTACGACTGGCGCTGCCACAGCAGCGGGCGACACCACAAACTGAAGGAGGCGCAGGCGCCATGAGTGACAAAAATAATCCCCCCTAAACCGTAAAACGGCTGCGAACAGCCATCTTTCAAGCTCTCTCTGATGTCGATACTGCAACAGGACATGTCTCTGGTTTTCTGCTGAATCTGAAATATGTGTGCATACGCTGGCACAAAAAATGAAAGAACACAAAGGAGAAGGGGGGAGCAAAAGAAAGGGAGAGAGAGCGAGGGAAGGAAAGAAACAGATTATAATAAACATGACATGACATGTTGCCTGACTGAGTAGATTAGCCCTCTTCCGTCCATACATCCAGTTTCAGATTTAATGTCTTTTTGGTGGCACAGTTGATATCCATGACGTTCCCGATACATTTGCTCTTCTGCACATCGGTGGCCTCATGTTTTGACCACAAATGCGTTCGCGACCTATGTCTTTGACAGAAAACAACGTCCATAAACTATAATCACGGTTGGAACATGTTTGAAAGTTGCCACTCACAGTCAAATCAGGCACAAACAACAATGGTGAATAAAATCCAGCACAAACCCTGTGGATACATGTTCGGATCTTCTTCACGTCGATTCAAGCCACACACACCCATTTTCTCCACCGTCACCGAGCCGTCTCAAACCCTCTTCCCTTCAACGAGGAGCCAATGCGGAAGCTTCAGTCGAT